CCCCCCAGTGTCTTTTATCTTGTGAGTGAAGTTTGAACAGTACGCAGAAAGTTAACTGCCTGGAGTCTTTTAAATATAAGTAACACGCACCCAGTAATAAGCTGTCGGTTGTTTTTTTGCTGCCTGCAAAGAAACATAAACACAGCGCTCATTTCTGGCAGGTTTTTACTGTCAGAGTTTCTCCTATTATATTTATCTTACAATTTGCCAGGGGGTGAAGTTATTAAGTTTTAGCAGCAGCCATCGATCAAGTTCACAAGTTAACACGATAAAGGCTCTGTGCCGCTCCGATCCGGGAAAATGATGATCCTCACTCGGTAATTAACTAAATGAGAAAGTTAAATCTTACTTGAGAGCTGGGAGAGATGAAAGAGAGGTGTTTGTCAGTTTCTCAGTGGAAATTAGAAGCAGTTTTCTGCAATTCCCTAAGCTGCTGCTCTGTCATATTTTACATAAGCACTGGGAAAACGTCTTGTAATTAGTGCTGTCATGGAGGATTTTTTTTGCTGAAGGATGTTGGAATAATTCATTAGATTATCAAGAAAGGCTTGTGTCCTGAAATGATTAGCACAGTGAAATTTAAACCATTAACGATAACAAGTTTAGAGCTTGCTGCAGTGCAGAGGCACCCGGGGTATGTCTGTGCCTATTTCAATCATTTCTTATAATTAAACATTATGTCCTCTTTTTTCCTCCCCTTCACTAAGACCCATCCAAAATTCCTGTTAAGGTGGCTCTGTCTAGATCAGCATCCTAACCGTGGCCAGCAACACAAGCAGCTGGCTATGGGATGCTGCAGCTGCCAGTAAGCAGTAGGAGCCACCTGTCCAGGTCAGAGCTGCAGTCCCTGTGAGTATGGAGGGAGGGGAGGAAGCCCAGCATGGACCCTTGGTACTGAGTTGTCCAAGGGAGGTCCCTTTATTTGGTCTAGAGAGATGCTCAGTGCTGACCTCATCTCTTGGTCATGTTGGAGCTCCAGCTTGAGGACATCTGGAAGGTTCAGAAGGTCCCAAACCTTGCTGAGATCATTTAAGCCGCGCATGATTTTCTGTCTTTCTCTTAAAAGAGTTGTCCTCTTATGTCAAGAAATGTATAAACTAAATTCTCCCATGCTGTAGAAAGTGCCTTAACAAAATCCTCTGTAATGATTAGAAGATATTATGGGGACTTTTTTAATTTAAAAAAATTTGATTATTACTAGGTTTTGACCGCTGCTATGGGTTCTGACCATTACTGTGGGCTGTGAAACACTGTGCCTGTAACACCATCAGAGAACTGTGCTGATCCTTACTGTTGTGCTTTAGAAGGATTCTTAGTCCCCTCTCCTGATCAAAACAAAAAATAACCTTGGTTGTCATATGTTGGTTACAGCTGTAATATACCATGGCTGTTGTGTCTACTATGCAGAGTAGGAGATTAATCTAGGCTTTATTTTTCCATGTTGAAATATGGCACCTTCCTATAGTTGCAAACTATAGTTAGATTGAATTTGAAGTTAGATTGAATTCCTTTCATATATTAGTCCGCTTCTACTTTGCAGAGCATACAAATATGCTTTGTGTTAAATGTAGCCATTTGGAGAAAGGCTCTTGTAATTATGGGCTGCAGTGGAGCACGGTACGTAGATCCTTGAGATGGTACCCACCTGAGGCAGCCAGTCCTCTGGGTTTCCCAGCACAGCTCACAGGCTCAGGCACACCAGTGCAGAACATCTTGGTTGCTCTTGCAGAGGAGTTGCCACTGGGGAGCTTGGAGCTGGCTGAGGCACAGTGGAGCCTGCACCTTCATTGTACTCAAGCTTTTGCCCGTGGTGATGGGCTACCACTACTTATTCTTCTTTGCCACTTTGGGAAGTGAAGCTTATAAAAAGCATAAGCACAAACGTTGCATTTGGATGCCTATTTAACATAGCAGTGTGTCCTGCTCGCAGGTTGGTGCTCACTTCTTCAGATTAGGTCTGCTGTTGTGCCAGGAAAAGGAACCGTTGAAGAAGAGACCATTGTGTGCTACAGGAAATAGAATCTGATTTGTCATGAACTGCAGCTGAACAGAATGGTTGAGTCATCAGGGTTTATTAGAAAGCTAAATGAATTCTCTTGCTGCTTGTAGCCGGTACCTCCCCAGTGTTTTAATGATACAGATGCTTGATGTCATTGTTGTGTCGTTGCTTTTTTTAATAACAGACCTTTTTCACTGAGCTCCTCAGTGGATTTTCAGGAATCTTCCAATTGAAATATTTTCGAATTGTCTTCTTACCCTTAGCTGCAGGTGGTCTTGGCGATCACAGGATTTTGAATCCTGCAGAGCTGGGGTATTCCTGGCCTGCACAGTCTTTCTGGTCCTTGGTGTATGGACCATGGGACCCCTGGAGATGCTATGGTGACCTTGGATGTGCTTCTTTTGATGGGAAACTTGAGCAGGCAGGGGCACTGGTGATGTCTCAGGTTTATATGGTCAGAATGTGGCTGAAGTAGGACGCTCAGACCTAAAAACACGTTGCACTCCTGTCTGCTAATTCAGACATACAGACACACAGAATGCTTTTCTTAGCAGATCCGCAACATAAGTGCAGAGTTTGTCTTCAAGTTACAAGTGTTGGTCAGTGGGCTCTTTAATTTATTCCTCCCTACCTCAGAGGCTGTATTTACTTGGGACACAAGCAAGTGAGTTGCTTTGGCCCACCGAAGCCATCTGATTTTAGGCACACAGGATCTGTTACTTGTTTTTGCGAGTGTTGCAGCTTCTATTTGATGTCCCAGGCTTTTAGAGGTAAGTGGGGGCTGGAGGTTGCTGGAAGTTCGGCAAGGCAGGGGCAGAGCCTGGTGCAGCCCCACGCCAGGAGGAGCAGCCCCTCTTGTCTTCGTACTTCACCTGCCTACTCTGCTGCTCGGTCTTACAATTTCTCAAATTAAAAGCCGGAGGTATTATTGAGACAGCCTGTTGTGGGATGGACTTGCCAACAAACAAGAGAAATTAAACCACATCAGGCTTGTAGAACACAACAGCTCTCTGCTGTCTAAATCCAGCACTTTTACGGGGGTGTCTGTTTTGCAGGCAGCTTAACTGCAGCAGAAATGACCGGAGTCCCCTAAGACCGATGTTCAGTGCAGTCCGTTGGTAATGATTTTTTGCCTGGCTGTTGCCAGCTGCAGACTTTGCTAGGAAAACTTCAGTCTTTCACACCAAGGACGTCATTCCCACAGCCCCTTTTATAGAGGTTTCTCTATATAAAAAGGTGTCCCAAGAGAATTTCTTCCTGCTGCCCAATACTGGGTTTGTTATTCACTTGCAGCACAGTCTGTGGGATGACCAAATGAAATAGGGTCAATCAGTCATAGCCCTTGTCTGACACGATCCTACTGAACACACACACAGGTCTGTGGGGAGAAAAGGGAGGCTGAAAACCCTGAGCTGCAGAGTTCAGTACGGATGGTGTGTGCTCCATGTTCTGAGACCTAACACAGAAACAGTAGAAATTTCTTGCTAAAAATGGCAGCTAATTACCACTTTTTTCCATCTGAAGAAAATCTGTCCAGCTCTGCTGGAGAGGCTGAAATTTAGGTGGCTTTGTGCTATAAAATGAGACGTAAGTAGTGAATAGTTAGGTATATTTTCAAGTGATGGTGTTTTTGGTATTTCAGAGAATTGCTGGCAGGGCAGGTGGGTATCAAAGAACGAGAATTCTTTTCTCCAGAGCAGTTAGGAATTCACACATTCTAAACCCAAATTGGGTAATGTTTTTCTCTGCTCTCTAAACACAGTGTTTCAGCATTTGAGAAAAAGTATTGTTTTGTGTTTTGTTTTTTTTTTTTCCTTCCAGTAAAATGAGTAAATCCATATATTTTAGTTATAATTACAGGCAGATTTAGGTACTCATCTTTTCCTTTAAAGGGAATGAAGTCTCATGATGAGGTTGGTGCCTGAAATTTTATCATACAGCAGAAATATGGTGCCCCTGAATCAATGGTTGATATATTTCAGTGCCTGTAATTCGTTTCTAATGATTTGATAATTAATAGTGAACCTCAAAATACATTTTGAAAGTATAAGTGATGTAGTATTATTGACTTTTCTTACAGAGCTGTCTGGTGTTACACCACTGAGGTGAAAAAGGGAAAATCACGTTTTCAGTGGGAATAATCTGCAAAAGCAAAATGAGAATTATCCGTGCTTTGGTTGAACATGTGCCTGTAGTGTGTGTTCCTAGACTGGGGAGGTACAGAAGTGAGTGTGTGGGGATAATGAATCCTAAAAAGATACAAAAGTCTCAATTTAGCATTTAATGCAAACTGAACAGTGTGGAAAAAAAATAATTTCTCCTTAAGCAGTTAATGTTTTCTGGACAAAGGATATCCTTACGATGCAAAATGTGCACTTTTCTTCCAGTAAAATCGTTTAGGAAGCAGAAATTACATCTTGCCATCAAGAAGTAAATTGAAATGTCAGTGTTTTGTATTGTCCCTGAAACTCTTCTTTGAGCTGAGCCTTTCTGACAAGATATTAACAGTGCTCGGAAAATGTAAGCTCTTTTATTCTGTGAAGGAAGCATGTAGCAAATATCAGGGTGTGCTTTAGCTGGCTTTACCCTCACAGTATAACTTTATACTCAGAAGTACTCTTTTTTTTTTTTTCCTCATTTGTTCAGGACATTTCCTATGAATTGTAGTAGCAGTCCATTCTTTAGAAGAAAAGTGAAATCTAAATGCAGTTTTCTGTTGGTGTATTGAAATAGCTGGTAACTGTAGATTAGGAATCCAAGTGCATTTTGCTGTCTGCAAGATGTAAATAAAACTGTGTTTGTATTAAATTGGCACTCATGGTTTCCCTTCCAAGCAGTCCTATGTGTGCAACTCAGGCATGGACCAGGACCTTGTTCTGCTGGAGTTACAGCTCTGCACTCAGCTGCAGATGGGATACGTGGTCCTGACCGACTTCACGTACCAGAGCACCTGATCTTCTTTTTGTATGTATTATTTGCGTTTTTTTTTTTCCTTTCACAGACAAAACTTGCCAATGGCACTTCCAGTATGATTGTGCCCAAGCAGAGAAAACTGTCAGCAAGCTATGAGAAGGAGAAGGAGCTCTGCGTCAAGTACTTTGAGCAGTGGTCTGAGTCTGACCAGGTGGAGTTTGTGGAGCACCTCATCTCCCAGATGTGTCACTACCAGCACGGACATATAAACTCGTACCTCAAGCCCATGTTACAGAGGGACTTCATCACTGCACTGCCAGGTACTTCTGCAGGCAAAGGAAGAGTGCTCCTTCCTCTTGTCTTCCAGAAAATTATTCTCTTTGGCTTCTTGTGTCTCTGGCCTGCCCTGTTGTAGAAGTTTTTTCTAGGGCCATCTTGCAAAACAAATTGTAGCTTTTGAGTGAAAAGCTCTATAGCAATACAAAATACAGGGACGTTTTGTTTTGTATTCCTACCATCGCTGAAGGGATGATCTAACATCAGCATAGTTTGGCCAGGAAACAATGGTAGCTCTTATCTGTATCTTAAGGAGGATCATCACAAGCCAGAGGACAGGTAGTTGTGCTTAGAATGCCTGCAGTGGTGCATTAGTAATGTTTTTTAAAAAATTAAAACTACTCTCGTTTTCCACTGCTCAGCCAAGGTTTTTCTCTTTTCTTATGTAGATTATTTTGGTGCTAGTAAAATAGCTTCCTGAGGCCATCACTTTGATTATCTGTTTATTGCCCATAGTGAATGGAGGACATGAGAAGAAAGAATGGAAATGTTCAGTGTATTTTTTGCACCTCTGTTGGACTTTCCTTTCAGGATTTTGTCCCAGGTGTTCTCGCATGTGGCACTGGGTGTATTTCAGAGAATGCATGCATAAAATAGTGTTTTGACCCCATCTTACAGGTGAGAAAGTGAGGCAAAAGGAGATAAACTTGTGAACAATAAGCCATAGAGTTTCAGAACCAGACGGGAATTCCTGTCTGTCGAATTTTTCCAGACCATTAGATCATAGCTCAATAAATAGCCAGTAGGTTAGCAATCCCTTTGTTTCAGGTGAGCCTGAGCAAGTCCTATATTTGTTCCATCTAAATAACCAGCTGAAAAGAAGAATTTCTTGCAAAAATACTTGTTCTGTGGATCCCTTTGTAGAAGTGATCAACTTGGACAATTCGTTCAATCCAGTCATTCGATCATTCTTTGGAGGGGATTTCGTAACCTGAAATTGAAAATGTCACGTTGGGAAAAAAGGTGGAAAAAAGTAGGGTTTAACTGTGAATTATGCAAAGCATGGAGGCAGTGTGAGAGTTTTGCTACGAAGTTAAGTATGTAGTCTCTGGATTTTTAAGCTCATTGTGCCCAGTAATCAAATGGTTGTTGTAGCATTAAAAAAAAATCTTAGTTATGCTAAGTACCTTCTTTATGTTAGTTTTTAGTAGTCCAATGGCAATAATCTTGTGTACTTAGAGCAGCATTATAACTTGTGAGGCTGTTCTGTTTCAGAAAAACAGAATACTTGGAAAGCATGTTGGTTTCCCCACTTTTAAAGTAAAAGCATACATACAGCTACACAATTTTTCCAGGTCTTCCTCCACAAAGCTCCATCAGAGCAAGCAAATACCACACATTTTCTGCTGTTTAATTTCATCCTACAAGCCTTTTTCTGACCGTTCTGGGCAAATATTAGAAATATTTTCACAGGCATCCAAAATCTGCCTGCCGTGCCATATTTGTTAGTGGTCTTTTCAGGGTTATCTAGGAAGCAGCTCTAGCTTTGAATTTTACTGTCTCCAAGTACAGAACAGACAGGATATTAGGCAGCTAATGTCTGAGAACGTGAACAGTTGTGGGAACTGTGTGCTTAAATAATATATGTGCATCAATTTGCATATTGGCAAAGTGCTAATGTCCTGGTGAATGTAGCTCTACGGGAGAAAATGAATGGCAGGGAACTAGGCTGGCTCGGGCTCTGCAGCCTGGGAGGTGCAGAATGTCCTCAGTGTAGGCAGCTTTCTGGTAAGGGTGATAGGAAGAAGGAACTGCTGAGGAAAGAGTGCTAAACCTAAAATTTTGAATTAAGTCGATAAAAAAATAACCCTAACCTATTTAAGTATTTTGTAGCTTTCTGAAATTCTCAAGTGCTCAATATTCCAGTTTCATTTTTATGCCTTCATTCTCTTTCCTACTCTCCCCCTCAAGTAAATAAAACAATAAAGATTTTCCAAAATCATGAGGCATCTTATCTCTGTCCTCCTCGCACTGTCCCACAGAACGACCAGAGATGGTTTTAGGTCATGTGCAGACTTGGCTGATATAGAGTGCAATTGACTGAGGTTGTTTTCCCAGTGCTTTAGACAGAATAAAGGTTGGGAAAATACAGCTTAACTGTGTACTTAACAAACTTTGTTTCATTTCTTAAAAAAAAAAAAAAGCACCAACAAAGTCTCTGCTTAGCATTTCCAAGCTGTTTAACATTTTTTATGAGCAGAGTCATTTTTATAAGGGTTTGGTGTGTGAAATAACTGAAACATTCTTCTAATACTTGATGTGGAGAACCGAAGGGCTAATTGTGTTTCACATTAGTTTAGCAAAAGCTTTTGTGCATGAAGAATTTTTTTAAGGGAAGCAATGCTCCAGTAGATATGTATCTCACATAATAATACAATTGAGTTTGCTGCCACGCCAAAATAGCTTTGATTCTGTGAAGAGAAGGAATAGTGAGGTTTTGGCCTCCCCTTCCCACGTGTTAAGTGGAAGGGAAAAGATTGTCAGAAAGAATGCCAAAGAATGCCAGAATGTGGCATTTCTGCTCCCCACAGAGAGCTCAGGACTGCAGGAATCAGAGGGGGGAAGCAAGGGAACACCATTGTCCACTTCTGTCCTTCAGAATTGGTTCAGGTTCACCAAAATACATAGACATACATACATAGACATAGGTCTATGAATTGCTGTAGTGTGAACCTGGATTTACAAACACTCTTCTTTGAGAGAGTTCCACATAATGGCTGTGTATATCTTTTCAGATTAAATACATAATAAAGGTTGCTGATGCTTCAGTTTTGCAGGTTGACATCTAATTTTGCATCTATAAAGATAAGAAATGTCAGCCCTCTTGCTGCATTCTGGTTGTGTCTGGTATCATTCCCGTGCTTTTTCTTCTGAATGAATGGGAGCATAAAACGCTGGGCAGAATGTCTCACCCAATGTGTATTATAAATCTCAGATGTTTGATAGGATTGAGAGGAGACATGCTGAGTTTTCTCATTTTCATGTGTCAGTAGATAATTTTGAGATGTTTCAGTTAACAAAACCAAGTAAAGCTTGGGCCTTTTGTTTCTTATGAGCTCCAAAGGAATCAGCTGATTGCCCCCAGTTTGGGTTTGCTGATGTATGGGCATGTGACTGTACAAATGCATTCACTGCTTTTTCTTTGTCACTGACAAGCAGGGCCTGCTCTTCGAGGCTGTTGTTTAAAAAGCAGGAAAGGACACGTATAACCATGTCCCAGATGTGAACCAGAGGGTTTCTAGGGTCTCAACCACAACTTTCACAAAGCCTCAGCAATTGGACCTGTGAAGAGGGAGAATCCCTTGACACTGTCTCTCGCTTATGAATTAAACAGCCTCCAAGAGGAGCTGTGTTTATGCAGCACCTCATTTAAAAGGCATCTTATCTTTCTGATGTCTGGTAGGTGATCAGATCTGAGTGGGAAGGGGCACATTTTTGCTAGACCCATCTGTCTGTTTAAGAGACAGAGCATGGCGTTGTGTGAAGTTACACTGAGCTGCTAAGTGCTACCCAGGCTGTAGAGCCAATGCTTTGCCAGCATTGCTGCCTCTTTGGCTCACCTGCTTTGCCTTTTACTCCAGACATGTTGAAACAAAGCCAGTCATGGTATTCACACAGGAAAAAATTTGCAAATTATACAATTATGGTGCATATTTTTCCTCCGCCCGCTTTAATAAATGAAGCTAGTGAACCTGCTTCACTTTCTCCTCAGACAGCCTCTTCTTTCCTTTCCACTTCCCCGTGCATCTGCATATCTTTCCCTCCCCCATGTCTGAAGGTACCACTACCCTTCAGGGCACACATTGGGAATATATATTTTTTTCTTCATTACGTTTAAAAGCTACTGCTTTAGCAAAAACAGCTTTTGAGCCGCTGGAACATGAGAACAGCTGTAGCAGTGAGATGAGAAATGGTCCTAATATAGAGAGATTTTGGGGGCTGCGTCGCTGAGTTGGAAATGCCATCCATAGAATATCCCCCTAGTGCTAAAACCCATCGAAATAGATTGGAATGACTTCTTGGATTCTTTATTATTTTTAATGACTTGTTGTGTTATATCCAAAGGAAGTTGGAGAACACTGCTCACTCCTGAACTTAGCTGCAGATGCTCTTCTGCACATTTGGTCCAGCTCTGCATGCAGAAGAGTAGATGGAAAGGAATAGGAGAGAGGGGGTATATTTGTACTTGTAAGGGGAGTTGTTTTAAACTGCCCTTCTCCCCAGCAAATAATGCTTGTTGTTTTTTTCCTTCCTCCCCCCGCAGCTCGGGGATTGGATCACATTGCTGAGAACATCCTGTCCTACCTGGATGCCAAATCGCTGTGTGCCGCTGAGCTGGTGTGCAAGGAGTGGTACCGCGTGACGTCGGACGGCATGCTGTGGAAGAAGCTGATCGAGAGGATGGTCAGGACAGACTCGCTGTGGAGGGGGTTGTCAGAGAGGAGAGGATGGTGAGGGAACTGTATCTTTACCTCTTTTGCCCCCATTTAGGACAGTGGGTGCTGTGTGTTTCAAACCCTGTTTGAAGAAGAATATGTAGCATCTTGAAATAGCACACTGGTTCCAAACCTGACAAATGCATGAGACCAGATTCAGGGGTTGGGGGCTCAGGGCATCATTTGGCTGTGCAGACAGTGTGGGGGCTTTTTCCTCATTTTCCTCATCTGATCATGCTCTTATCCCACTGTGACAAGTGGGATATACAGAGTGAGATTTTTACGCCCAGCTGTCATTCGGTTCAAATTAAGAAGCTGTGTACGCCCCAGGGGAACACTAAACTAGTCAGCAGTTCAGAGCAGAAGAGCTTTTTTGGGGGTGGCAATGGGGCAGCATGTGCTATGTATTAGTTGTTTCCTGATGGGTCTGTTTGTTTTCCTCAGCAGATTTTCACTATTAGATATCTGTTTAATTTTCAAACTGGAAGCTCAGGGTAGGTACCACAGAGAATAGGGGACTTTAGAAATGCAGATAGATTAGTTAATAATCATCTGGAATAGCCTTACTACAATGTGGGTCTCACTCAAGTTTGAAGCTGCTCTGTTAACATTTCATTAGAACTTTCCCTCTCAGGGGCTACGTCCTTTAATACATAATTTTCTTTTCCAAGGGTGTCCCTAGGATGTTGGCAGAAAGGAAGCTGGATATGAATATTTCATAAACAAGATAAAAGTGACAGCTCAGGCATTTTGGTCGCTATTAAAAAGAAAAAGATACAGAATTGCAAACAAAGACTTCTGTTTCACGGTTAATTTTGTTATACTGCTTGTCTCAGAAAGTAAAGGCAAGTAATTCAGAATTATGAAATGTCCTTTAAATATAAATACTATGTTGATCTGCTTCCAGTTGTATAGTGTTTATAAAGAGTATAAAATAAACACAGACATGGTAGTGGTAACTTTTTCATCCCCCTTTTTCTAAGTCATCCCAGATGTTTGTCTAATGGTTCTTAAAAGCCTTTAATGATGGAGATTCTTCGTGCCTTGCTTGAGCAAGCAGTACCACTATTTTACTAACCATGCTGCCCAGAACCCCATCCAACCTGGCCCTGAATGCCTCCAGGGATGGGGCATGCACAGCTTCTGTGGGCAGCCAGTTCTGGTGAACACCATCCTCCTATCTACAGTTCAGGATGGCATATTTAGCCTACACAGACACAAAGAACAGTTTCTCTTTCTGCTTTTTGTAGTAATCTTTTGCGTAGCTGGGAGATGATCATGTTTCCTGTGCATGGGATGCACTCATGAATGCTCACTCTGTGTTTTCTTGTCCTCTTCTTGATTTGCTTTGAATAGCCTCACTCCAGTTACTCTTCTTACTCTTCTCCAGTCTTGGAGGATGGTGACTTCAGCTGACCATCTTCCTTCTGCTGAGGCGTCACCAGAGTTTAATGAGAAGGATTATTTTCTCTGCTTTATGGGGGGTGCTCCATTTTAGGCTTTCCAGAAGAACACGTGCTTTTTTTTTAACAGTGGTTTTATATTATATATAACTTTTAATTACCCCTTCTGTGGAAGTTCTCCTTACCTGTTGTTCCTCATCTTTCATGCTTATGTTATAAATAGAGAACTTAGCACTTGTTCTTGTTCAGTTAGATTCTGTATACTGGTTAGTATTTCTCCATTCTGTCAGATGCATTATGAGTTTAATCTTGTCCTCCAAAGTGCTTGTATCTTCTCTCAGCTTCAGCATCATTGGCCACAAAGTAAATATGCTCCCTATTCCATTCTTCGTCATTAATGAAAGTGTCTAACATGACACATCTAGGAGAACTTCATGCAAGATCCCAGTTGCCTTTCTTTTTGACAGTGCACTGTTGGTAAGCTGTGCTTGCTAGCCATTTGTAAGTTCACCCTTGAGCATTTCCACCACTATACTTCTCTAGCTAACTCATGAAACTGACCTCTGAGAAGAAATTAGGTCCATTTGACATTATTTATTCTGGCTTGATCAGCGTGGCTGTTGTTGGTCAGCTTTTCATCTTCTAGGAACTCATCTAATTGTGTGATCTACGGTGAGCAGTCTGTGAAGTTCATTTGGACAGTCCACCATTTCCCTGGGTTTACCTTCTTCCTATCAGAAATCCTGCTTTCTATCTTGAAGGACAGTAACTCTATGTTATTCTGTCAGGGAGCAGTAAGGGTTACCCAGATTTACAGAAGAATAAAACAGAAGCCCAAGATTGGGTACTTTTGTTTCCATCTGAATACTTGATTGAGTTGGCCAGTCATCAGAAACTGCAAACAATAGTTGCTTTTATCCCAATCACTGGGATGCCAGGGAAGTTCCAAACAGTCCTTTGGCTGACCTGTATGCAACTGACTTTACAAGCAGCAAGACATTGCTTATGGCTAGCAGGACCTTCTAATAGCTCATGTAGTAAAGCTGCAAACAATAGACAGGTTTTCAGGCACGTAGGCTTGTATACAGATTGTTCTAGACCTACCCTAAGTCTTCTGTAGTGTGCCATAGCTGTTCTGCACATCTCCGAAGCATTTCCAGCCTCCCCAGGCCAGTGGTAGTAATTTTCTTGCACTTCCAAACTGGATCCTGTAAGGATCCACCTAACTATTGGTTTGCGTGCAGCCATATGTCCCTTCTTCACAAAGATTTGTCCCCAGACAGGGGACTGCTGGGTACTGTTTGAAAACTCAGATGATTCTTTTGTCCTAAGTAGAAAGCAGCTTTCTCTGTATGAATGTAAACTAGTTTCCCTAATTATCAAAAGATCTTTTCTTGAACATTTGTTGTTTTGTTTGTTCAATCCTATAGTTTACCTCCCCGCTTACACCTAAAAACTGTAATGATCTAGTCTGGATTTTGCCCACAGTATGTCAGCCAGTTAGTGCAGTCTCTCAAATGACTTTCAAGACATGTTATATGGAAAGGACAAGAAAAGAATGCAAAACGAAGTATTGAGCAATTAATTATGCCATAATGGAGTGAGGGAGGGGGAAGTGGAGAGCTGGCCCAGTATAAACTCCGTGCCTCCGATGCCAGGATTACACTCAGAGGCATTTGTGCCTCTCTCCATTTTGCGAGGCATGTTGCCAGGCAGAGCAGCAGTTAGTACGCCCATGGTGGGGTTTACTAGCTTCCACACCGTGTTTGGTGGCTTCTTAACTTCAGGATGAGGAATTTAAGTTTTTTACACAGCAGGTAGTGATTGCCGTTTATGGATTTTTTTTGTAGCAAAAATCTAGCTTGGGATATGAGTATTCCAAATCAGTGTTGAAATGAGGAAGGCACCACCGATGAAGCGTTGCTTACCAAAATGAAGTAATAGCATTAAAATGTCCGTGTCCCAAAACTGATGCTGTTCCTGTTAATATAGATCAAAGCTAGTCGTGAACACACAGAGAGCTTGAGGGTTCTTCGGCTTCTCGTATTTTTTTGTATGCTTTATTTTAAAGGTGACCTCTGGTATGAATATGTATGTAGTGGGTATGAGCCATTCTAACCTCTTATTGAGTTGAAGGGGCTCGTGTTCAAAATAGTACATTTTCCTTTCCCGAGAGAGGAAGAACTGCTTTGTCATTAATTTTTCAGTGTCTATATGCAACTTCAACATGTCACAGACAAACAAACGAGGAACCACCTTGTGTTACTGTGAACTGAAGTTAGACTGTGAATCTTTGTGTGCTTTTCAGCAATGGTTGTCCATTTCCAAAATGCCAGGGAGACCTTCCTCCCAAATGCTGAAATGTGATCTGTGTTCTTTGTCTTCCAGGGGACAATACCTATTTAAAAATAAACCCCCTGATGGGACTGCTCCGCCCAACTCCTTCTACAGAGCACTTTACCCCAAAATTATACAGGATATAGAGGTAAGGAGTAACTTCCAGGTGTGATAGGCTTTTTTGTTTTGTTTTGCTTTTTTTAACAATCTCTCTCATTTACTCATGATGCTCAAATTCTGTGAATGTTTCATGCTGATGGAGTATTTCATTAAATACGATGTGTCTGTGTTCATTGGGAGTTTGAAGATCTGGGCTATGTATAAATTCCCAGGCCGTCATCACTGCCTTAGTCAGAGGGGGAGCTGTGTTGTTCAGGAATTCTCCACACTTTGCACATCAGATGTCATAGCAACACTACCATCTTGACTTTCTCTGTTCCATGGTACTTTCCCCATCCATGCACATTAATCTAATAAGATGATAACAGATGGATCTCAGGAAATGAGTCAGCGAGAAAGTGCAGTCTCTAAGACCCAGGGAAACAGGAGGCAACTGGGCAGTGTTGCCTTGTATTTGGTGGAGAGCCAGTGCCAAGTGCCGTGTTCTGACAGTTGGATAGTGGCAAAAGAGGTGGTCTGGCACTGTCTGGGCAGATTTGCACAAGCCTTTAGAGTTCTGATGCGACTTTCTCTGCAATTGTTTAGTTGCAGAGTCACAGAATTAGAGGTTGGAGTTTGAAAAAAACAACTTCTGGGTCACTGCTCCCTCATCATGCCAGAGCACGCAGGGGAGTTTGGCCACAGTATGTGTTCCAAGCCTTTGCCTGTTTCATTGGTTTCATCACATGCTGCTGCTTCTAGAAAACTGCTTTGTCATTCTATGGATCTGGCTGCAGGAAAAAATGTTAAGTATCTGCTGTCTTCTAGCTCAGAAAGCAAATGGTACCCTGGGCTCCATCAGAAGAGGGGTGGCCAGCAGGAACAGGGAGCTGATTGTCCCCCTCTACTCTGCTCTTGTGAAGTCCCATCTGGAGTACTGTGTCCAGGTCTGGAGCTCCCAGTACAAGAAAGACAGAGAAGTGTTGGAGAGGGTCCAGAGGAGAGCCACAAAGATGATCAGAGGGGTGGAGCACCTCTCCTATGAAGGCAGGCTGAGGGAGCTGGGCTTGTTCAGCCTGGAGAAAAGAAGGCTGCGGGGTGACCGCACTGCAGCTTTTCAGTACCTAAAGGCAGCCTATAAACAGGAGGGGAATCAACTCTTTGTAAGGGTAGATAACAGCAAAACAAGGAAAAATGGTTTTAAGTTGAGGGAGGGAAGATATAGGTTGGATGTCAGGGGGAAGTTCTTTACTATCAAAGTGGTGAGGTGCTGGAACAGGCTGCCCAGAGAGGTTGTGGATGCCCCGTCCCTGGAGGTGTTCAAGGCCAGGTTGGATGGGGCCCTGGGCAGCCTGGTCTAGTATTAAATGTGGAAGTGGGTGGCCCTGCATGTGGCAGGGGTTTGGAGATTCATGATCCTTGAGGTCCCTTCCAACCCTGGACGTTCTGTGATTCTGTGTGATTCTCAAGCAAACAAAAGTAAGGAATAGAGAGTTTTGTCTTTTATTTTTACTTCTCTTTTGTCTCCTGTCTCTCAAGACAATAGAGTCAAACTGGCGGTGTGGGAGGCACAGTTTACAGAGAATCCACTGCCGTAGTGAGACAAGCAAAGGCGTTTATTGTTTACAGTACGATGATCAGAAGATAGTCAGTGGCCTACGAGACAACACTATCAAGGTGAGAACTCTCCAGAGTGGCATGCCAATGGCACATAGTGCCAGTGCCAGAAGTAGTAGTGTCCTAATTTCAGTAGCACCTCTCCAGCCTTTTGTTACTAAACGAATCTTCTCCTTCACCTCTTACCTAAGCAATACGTATACCTCTTATATTTGTCAAGAGAGACTTTGTTTTCTTTCTGAACAGAATTCATTAGCTGATTTTTCAGTCAGTAATTAAGATTATGTAACTACTTTGCCCTAATGAGGAGGTAAGACCAGTGTTCAGAGCAAACTCAGTAATACCAAAGACGTTAGCATATTACACCAGCCTGCATGTCACCACAACAATTAGCCCATGCCACTGAGGTAGTTCTACCTGCAATGTAGATGATCCGTTGTAGTGAAAAACAGACCAGTCAGAGCAGTAGGTGCTTAAAGTATGATGTAAACCTTACTTAGCTGTCTGTTTTGTAATGTTTGCTCTCCTAGATCTGGGATAAAAATACGTTAGAATGCAAACGAATTCTCACTGGACACACGGGTTCTGTCCTGTGCCTGCAGTATGATGAGCGGGTGATCATCACTGGATCTTCAGACTCGACTGTCAGGTGCGTGCTTGTGATTCAGAGCTTTCCATTTGCTTCAGAAAGTTCAGCTTTGTGAGCTGCTGAAATGATCTTTTCTTAAATCTGTGCTGTTCAATTACCTCCATAATCTAGTTCAGCACATTTGCTCAGAAGTGCACTGTCCTTGTTTATCAGATGTCCATGCAAGTGGTTGTCAAGGAGAAATGAGACCCTAAACAAAGGTCAGCCAAGGTCAAGATGACTTAGGAAGACAATTTGGCATTTCACCAAGGTGCTGCTTGTTTGGACACTCCCTGGGAATGCTTTTACATCCTCCATAGGAATAACTTTAAAAGTTGGTTAAGTACTCAAAGCAAGCTTGAAGGTTTAGTCATCTGTTGTCCCTTAATTTTAACAAAGATGCGTGACTAGATCTCCTGTGAGTTTTAATTAAGTTTCAGCATGACGTTTCTTCCTGGTCTTTCTAACTTTGTTTCCTTTCCAGTCTCCATTAAAAGGCTGGACACTTCAAGTCAGCACATGCAGTGCACATTTTCACTATGCAGATGTAAAGTCCACTAGACATATTACAGGATCACAGAGAGCCTAAGTCCTGCAGTGTAAATACAGGCACATTTGAATTAGTGAGTTGCAATGTGAACTTGGACACAGAGGAGCAAGTCTGTCTTCTCCATGCTGTTACATATCCTCTTTTTGTCAGAGAATCAGCGATGCCCATGCAGTGAAGTTACAGATGACAAAAAAGCTGTGCCAATGGCCTTTTCTGAAGCTATTACCATGTGTTCCTATGGCTGCAGGCTGCTCACGGCTATCACTGTGCTGCATGCAAACTACCACTGTTAAACTAGTGACCATTTCATTTAGTACTTTACACGTGATGCATGTAGTCTTATGGTGTTGCTAGGTTTTGGGATCCTAACATTTGTAGAAATCCAGAATTTTTGTGTGGGAACTGCTCAGTGCTAAATACAGGTTGCAAAAGGAGATGCTTATTTCTGTAATAAGCACTATCATTTTCCATATCAGGCCAGGCAGGCCAAATTGCAGACTGGCTACTTGCCCAGAAATACTTTGTTTTCCACTGTAGCTATAAACGTTTGTGCAGACCCCCGAGGCACATAGGATGCATCACTTTTATCCTTGGGTCTCCTCAAAAAGAGGGGCTTTGTCCAATAGACAGTACAGATGGGCTCTTAATGCTTCCGAGAGCTCAGGGATGCACTTGTCCAGAGAAGTCAGTAGGTCTCCAGCTCCTGTTCAGTTTGGCAACCTTGTCTGCAAACTGCTTGTATGCTAATGGCTCAGGTCTGCAGTCTGCAGTCTTTTTAACTTTGCATTTTGTAATTGGAATTGTACTTTCCTTTCTCATTTATAAACCAGAAATTGACTTGCTTCAGCTTCTATGCATTAGAAAATGAGGCATTAGAATCCTTTCTCACATCTTGCCTTTTCTAACTGCTCACCATATTGGCAGAAGAAAGTTTCAGCTTTTACGGTGTGATCTGCCTAATGATACAACCATTTGCTGCTCTCACACAGTGTATGTGGGATACAGGTGTGATAGTGACAAAAGAAATCTCTTTGTGGAGAATAAAAAAAGCCTGCAAACAGGACAGCCCAAAACATTTTTGAGGATTAAAATTTTAATTTCAAGTCCTAGAAGTTCCATATGAAGCCTTTGAGTAGTTTTCATCTTAAATGATCTTTCAGTACAAACAGTTGGTTCCAATAACATTAAATCAACATGAATGTTCTGTCTTAATTTGGGTATTCAGCACATTCTTAGAATGTAGCTGTGTACCAGATGCATTGCAAAGTAAAAGCAACCCATTGTGCAACTTGTAGCAATTACATTTGTTTGAAAGGCATAACCTTGTCTTCCGCCTCTGTGTAAGTTATCCTATGAGATGATAGTCCTGTGAGAGAAGTCAAAAATGAAACTTATCTCCAAACTTCCTTCTCCACAGGTCATATTTAAGCAGTCAGTGACTGGGAATGGAGTATGGTAGGCTGACTTGACCAGGAAACATCAGTCTCTAGGGCTGCCAATCTCATACCTTTCCTTAAACACTAAATTCTCTTAATTAAGGAATGCTTTTTTTATTTTTTTGTTTTTCTGGCTGGGTTGTTTTTATGGTGTTAACTGTATTGCAGGGATTTTGGCTGCTGCACTGTCTCAATATATGTGTAATCAACAGGTTTATATAACATATCTTTTAATGAAATATTTAATAGATTTAGCTATAACCTGTGGCATTTGCATCTCTAATATTGGTAGAGAGTTAATTACCTCTCCCCTTCCCTTTTTCCCTCTGCAGAAAAACTACTGTTCATCTTTTTAACTCTCTCCTCTCTTGGTTTGAAATCTGAAACTGCAGGGTGTGGGATGTGAACGCAGGCGAGATGCTGAACACACTGATTCACCACTGTGAAGCAGTGCTGCACCTCCGCTTCAATAACGGCATGATGGTGACGTGTTCCAAAGACCGTTCCATTGCTGTGTGGGACATGGCTTCACCAACAGACATCACCCTGAGGAGGGTGCTCGTAGGGCACCGCGCTGCTGTCAACGTAGTGGACTTTGATGACAAGTACATCGTGTCAGCGTCAGGTGACAGAACTATAAAGGTGAGGTATTTCAGAGGCTTTTTTATTTGCAGCACCAAGTATTTCCTAACAAAAAGCAGTGACCAGACAGGGAACAGTCTTTGGCTGTTATTACACTGAATTTCCTTTAGAAGCAGTATTCCTCCTGCTCATTTTCACTCATCCCTCATCTGTTGAGCTTGTGCGACTTGTTGACAGAGCTTTATAGCAAGTCAGACCCAGGTGTAGATGCAGTTGAAAAAGGACTCTTTTTTCCCTATGTTCTTTTTCAATTTGACTGGTTTCACAATCTGTTTCAGCATTGGTAACACAAAGAGTTGTCAGAGGGCAACACGCAGACAAAAGCAAAGGTGAGTGGGTAGGAGTCACTTGAGTGTTACTGCTGTGACCTTGATCTGCTGCATTAAAACTGAGGAAAATCCAGTTCCTGTGTAGACTAAATCACAGACTAAATCACTCTCAGGCTGAAGACTGTTTTTGGAAGCTAATTCCAGTACATATGGCAAAAACCTTCTGTGTGCTGTGGCCGAACCTGTGAACACTTTCAGGCAGTAGTCACGAGTCATCAGAGGGGTAATTTTCCTGGTCTTACGGAAGTGTGTTCAATTAAGAACATTCTAGGTGCACCCCCTGTATCATACAGGTACCATCTTTTGTTAGTCTCTTCTTAATAATTTTGTCTCTGTGTGGTTTCACCTTTCCTGTCACAGGTATGGAACACTAGTACCTGCGAATTTGTGCGCACCTTAAATGGCCACAAACGAGGCATTGCATGTCTGCAGTACAGAGACAGGCTAGTAGTGAGCGGCTCTTCAGATAATACTATCAGGTGAGAGACATACTCCCCGTTGCAGAGTTCTTTGCAAGCATGTTGTCTCTAAATCCCTGGGATACGTGGAGGTTAGGCAAGCAAAGTGCTCTGTACCCTTGTCTTCCTTGAAATATGTTTCCTTTGGTAGAGAACATTGGGAACTACTGGGAAGAGATATTAGAAGACTGTTTTACTGTGTTGTCTTTCATCCTCTGTATCTCAGGAGTCCCATACTAATCAACAAGTTGCATTGCTCTGACAATTCTGGTGTATTGAAGAGCTGGCAAGTAACACTTTCTGTGATGTCCTCTTGTGATATTTTAATTGGGCTATGTGTCTAGTTAAAGGGGTCAGATTTGCAGTAAGAGGCATTTAATCCTCTGCAGAAATCCTCCTGGGCTCTGGCCAAGCTCTTCTTGTGGTACTTGGCACCGGGTTAAGTTTGGAACAGCTGGTTTAGAGCATGAAGTTCAGTTTGCTGCCTTTTGCACTTCTCCAGCTGCCTTGCTGCAATCTGAGATTTAACTCCTTCTGGTATCATGAGCCAGAATTTCTCCCTACATCTAGCAGCTGCTGGCAGAGGGGTGTCCCACTAATCTCTGGGTGTACTGAGCAAGCAGGAATAGGGGTGTAAGTTGTGTGGGGAAGCAGCTCTGTCATTCAAGCAGGAGGAAGAGAAGCCTCCATTTTGTATTGATCACTGCTTTGAAGAATTGTGTTCCTTCTGATAAAACTGGAAGTCTGGACAGCCTAAGCAGAAAGTCTTTACTTTTGATGTCAGAGTTTATTTTCCTTAGTGAGAATGATTCATGCAGATGTTTGTCTGTGGACTTTGCTTGCAAAACGGTGCCTCTCTGTGCTTTGTGTTCTGGAAAATGGTGGTCCTTTGATGGTCATCACTGGATTGTTGCACTAGGTTTTAGTGTGTGGTTGCCTGAGAGCGTGAGCTAAAGAGCTGGGGCTTCTGTCCCTTTATCAGGGCAAAAAGTATTAATAGACATCATGTAAGAGTAGCACTGTATATGTCATAAAAATTCCAGATGGAAAAAATAACCCTCTGCTTCTGTACTATGAAACTAGGTCTCAGAGTAAGAAATAGTTAAATGCTACACCATTTGGGGAAGGATCTAAAATATGAGTAATAGTAATAAAAATAAATGTCAATGTAGTGATAATGCTAAAGAGGAGTGTGATTACTTTTATGCTTACATTGGACAAAATCCCTAACTGACAGATAAATTGTGCTAGAATTTCAAGAATGTTGGCAGTGAATCTTAATGGAAGTCAGATTTGGCAGCTGTGTGGGCAAGGCACAAGGTTTACCTGTTCACGTAGCTTTCTCCCAGCCATTAGCAGAAGGCACATGTCAGTGGAAGAGTGATTAAGCAAGGGCAGGTTACTAAGTCCTCTCTGTGGGTGGTTTGGTGTTTTGCATGTTTGATTTTAATCCATTGTAAAATACCAGATGTTGTGTTGGCCTTTAGTAGGGATTGCCTTCTGGTATTGAATTTGAAGTTGGCCATTCCTCGGTTACAGAGAAACTTTTTTTGTGTGATTACTCATTCTTCAACCATGAATCTAAGGAAGTAGTTGAGAAATCAGTATCTTTCTTCTGTAGAGACTCCATGCATAAAAATGATTTAGGTTTTGGTTTAGGAGAGAGTTCTCACAAGGTAAAAGAATACAGCCATGTAGGCATCACTCTTATTGTGCTGATTTCCACCAGTAAGAAAGTGGCCCATCATTTTAATCCTTTTTTTTTTTTTTTTTTAATCCAGTCACTTAAGTATCTTAGCCACTAGTGCCAAAGAAAAAAAAATAAGCTGTATCATTCTGTGTTCACTTTTAAATGAATGGCTGGCATGGATTCATGTATTCAACTACCAGTGTGTGCACACAAGGATCTGCTGCTGGACTCTTGAAGAAGGGGATTCAGGCTTATCTACCTTCTGTACATCTTCCTACTCTGCCAGAAGTTCAAGAGAAGTAAAGGCTGTGGTAATTGGAGGTGTTCTACTATAGAAGTTCTCCCAAAGCTCTAGGAAGGAAGAGTGGCTGTTCCTTTGCCTGCATTCACTTCATAGTGAAATTTCTAAGTTAGTTTTCAAGCCTAAGAGCAGTCTTGTTTCTGTTTGGTCCTTTGACTATTTAAAGAAGTAGAAATTTGAGATTACCAAATCTGGGAAGTTCCCTTGGAACCAATTCTACATATGCTGTTCTTACACAGCAGTTACTCCTTTTGTGTGTGGAAGCCCATTGCTCTCAGGGCTAAGGGCTGCGATCATCTTTTCTAATCACAGTCAAATTCAGGTAAAAACTCAAACTAGGACCTGATAATACAAGTCTAAGTTAATATTATGCAGCCTTGCCAAGCTGCTGGCAACCTCAGGATTGATGGCAAGGAGTGGAAACACATGGCACAAAAGTTCCTGGCACAAGATTGCTCTTCAGACCTTTCTGCACCAGTTCACTTCTGGCATTGTGCATCCTGTTTGCAGTCCTTGGCAGGAGACATAATGCCCTCTGGCCAGCCAAAGTGCCTTTGGCTGAACTTTACCATGGATTTGCTTTCTCTGACCTTAATGGTGTGCTGGTGCTGATGCAAAAACCAGTGGGGTCTTCACAGATTGGTGAACACTCAGCTTCACAGACTGAGGAATTATCTTCTGCTCCTCTTTGGCCTCAGATGTGTGACACCTAGGAATATGGTTTAGTGGCCATGGTTGTGTGGGGTTGATGGTTGGACTCGGTGATCACGGTGGTCTTTTCCAACCTTTCTGATTCTATGATAAACTAACCCTTACTCAGTACAGTTATGGGAAGAGTTCTGTTCATTCCCCAATCGTCCATAGCGAGAGCATCTTGTTGTGGATGGACAGATGAAATGATTACCCACCATCCTTGTGCACACATCCACTGGGTCTGGACTATTCCCTGGGGGACCTCAGGATTGAAGTATGTGGGGACGATTTATCTCTCTCTTAGTTTCTCAAGAAAAAGTGACCTGACCCCACAGCAGCTGTACTTCTTTGTGTGGTGTCACCCAGACAAATTCCATGAACCATGAACCTCACTACCATGAAGTCTCTGTCAGTCTGAACTCTAATTGAACAAGCATTCAAGAACATCTGTGACTGCTTTTTCTCAGCTGTGTGTCAGAGCCTCAGCAGATACTGTTATTGAAAGATTCCATTTGTTGTGAACCAAGTTTATGTCATCCGGAGGTGGAACACCTGTAAACAATGCATGTCAAGAATTTCAGTTCTTGTTGGCAAATAATTTTTCTTTATCTGTTCCAATTGGGAATCCCCTCAAAGAGCTGACAAAAGTATCAAAAGCATATAAGCTTATTTCTTAAAAAATTGTTTGAGCACAAGAAGAAAATGCTTTATGAATAATAAACTCATAATAAACTCATAAATAAAAATGCATAATGATTAAATAAACACAGAATGCCCATTTTAGCTTATGCACAAGTTACCTTCATTACAGAGCAAATACACCTTCAGTGGGAGAAAATGACAAATATAAAGGGCTTGTTAGTTCTTGTACCTGTCACTACTGTATATACAGTTCGTCTGACGTTAGTCTCAAAATCAGAAATAGGCATGTAGGGGCATTAGAAGGGGTGTGTGCCTTGGTAAAGGTGCTTTTACCTTTGGTACAGGGTTCCAGGAGGACTGGTGAGTCTTTCTCACTTAACATCTTCAAATCAAAGAAAGATACTTTTATGAAAAACTGACTTAAAATAAAGTCAGGCTTCTCATGAAGATAACTGGGAGATATCACGTGTCTTGTGTTAATAGAGAAGTGGATGGTGGGCATGGCTGATCTTAAAATGTTTGGGTATCTGAGTAATCCCCCATATGATGCTGTCACATAAGAGTTGTTGAAAAACATGCATCAATTGAACTGCAGGAAAAGAGTGATGAATAGTTTGTTCTTTGTTGTTTCATTATGAACTTTATTTCCTAGTTTTCATTAACTACAAGCAAAGACCAAGTGTTTCCTTGAAATAATCAGAAATTCAGAAATTCTCAATGCTTCTTCCTGTTCTCTTCCAGGCTGTGGGATATCGAGTGTGGGGCATGTTTGCGAGTACTGGAAGGCCACGAAGAGCTGGTGAGATGCATCCGCTTTGATAACAAGAGGATAGTCAGCGGGGCATATGATGGGTGAGGCTAGCTAATGCGTCGGATCCTCCTGTCTTTCTCAGTGTCTCACGCATCAGTTTGCTGGATCTTCCTTATAAAAATTAAATTTTTTGTCTGTCATACCAAGAGGTCCTGGTCATGGCCAGTAAGTCAGGCTGATTCTACAAAGTACGCCTGTTGTTGTTTTTTCTTTTTAAAAAAGTCAGTGTGATTTGATCCATGTGGTCCATTTCTTTAGCTCATAAGAATATCAGACAGACTTGATCTGAAACATCTTCTAGCTCAGCCATTGGTAAGAACAATGTTTGCCTCCTGTGGTTGTCTTCTGATCCATTTGCCACTAAGACTAGTGTGCATTAACCCTCCCATATGTTTCTGTTAGTTATTATTGCCTGCTTTTTTATGTTTTATTTTGTCAACAGCATATTATTTTCTCCCTTTAAACTCTATGAGCATTACAAAGGAGAAGCGCAAGAACCACATTTCAGGAGCAGAAGGCTTTCTGTAGTTTTCCTTGATCTGCTGTATCAGCTCAGCTGCACTAAAGCTCTCTCTTTTTTTTTTTTTTCTGTGAGCACTTCATCTTTTCTTTTTAACAGAGCCATGGTGTTTCTCTCTTTTTTCACTACTAGGAAAATTAAGGTGTGGGATCTGGTGGCTGCTTTGGACCCCCGTGCTCCAGCAGGGACCCTCTGCTTACGAACCCTTGTGGTAAGAGCTTTGGGTAGGAGTGGTGGAGGGAACAGGAAAATGTTCTTGCTCAGGGCTGTCTTGAGCCACAGAAATTCAAGTCAGTTTAGCACCAGCCTGCAGGATCTAAAAGTCATTTCTAGAGATCTGACTTCTTCTTTGGTAGTTGAAAGCTAAGTCATTTTTGAGACTTGTCCTTGGAATCCATGTGTTGGTGGCTTTACTTTAGTGTGTCTATTCCCATGAGTTGTTGACAGGGAATTTCTTAAAGAAAAGTAGTAAATTCCAAATTTGAGGGGGAAAAAAAAACCAAACACAAAAGCAACCTTTTCATTGCATTTCAGTGGCTTGTGTGTGTTGAAGGACAGAAGGGCTACGGACTGGAACAGACAGTGAGATTGCCTCATCCTTAAACAGCAGCTTCTAACGCTCTTCAGTGATATTTAGTACAGGTCTGATGATAGTGTGATAAAAATGTCATTGCAGAGTGTTCACAGCATTCACCATCATGCTTAACAGTGGCTCTGCACTGATCTTAGAATGATGCAGGAAGGTTGTGACAAAAATGCCAGCACAGCCAGGGCCATGGGGTGGATCCTATAAGCATTCCTCTGACATCTTTGCTGTTTCTGCTCTGATAGACTTAGCTGGGGGTTACAGAAAGATTTTCATCCAGTGCTGAGTCCATGTTGAAAAAGAAGTAATGAATTACTGTTTTCTTTTAGAAAATAAATTTTTGGATGATGTCGGAATTTGGTGGACATCAGACCTTCTGCTGCTCTAGCTGTCCCACACCTTCATCTACCACCCAAACTGCTACAGTTGCTGTAGATTTCACTAAAGTATTTTGCTTCACATTTCACACAGGCTTTGAGGGTTGACAGGCAGTAGGTCATTAAGCCACACTAGCTCTTTTCCAATCCTGTATTTGTACCATAAGCTGCAAAGTAAGAGTCGGTGAGGGCCTTGGATGCCTGCAGGTAATGTGTTGAAAAACCTTTTTGGTAGCCAAAGAGAAATACAAATAGTTTCATGGCTGAAATCCAGAAAACCCTTTTGTCGTCAGCCACCCAGCTGCAAACTGTGGAACAGCTCTGTGCCCATGAACACGTATCCCTAGAGTCCAAGACTTCAGCGTGATATTAGTGGTGTTTCTGCTCCAGCCCGAGACAAATGTGTGCCTAGTAACCTGTAGACTTAATTTAACTGGTGCGATTTCCTCTGCATTTTCCAGCAGTGGACAGCCAAAGTGCCCCAACTAATTGTATTATAAATCAGAAGCGGTGGGATGGAAACACTGTAGGAATCTCAACACATGGATACTCATAAATCCCTGTTTGATAGCAATGGAGGAAGCCAGAAGAGGAGGGGCAGAGGAGGCTGTCGTAGTGCTTTTAGGGCTTTTCATGTTTATGACAACAGGGCGTCCTTATACCCAGTTACCCATAGTTGCTTTTTTTTTTCCCTCTCTTCTCTCGGCCTCCAAAATTAAACCTGGCTGCACAATGAACATCGCGAGTCTCCCGCTGCTCGTGTTCAATTTTCAAACAGTAGGAGGAAAGTGCACAGATAACAAATGCTCGCTGCATGCCAGGTCCCTCCCGTTAGCTGGAACAGTGGCCACACGAGTGTCACAGAAGCTTTCCAGGCGCAGAATAAGCAAACAGCACAACTCTCCTTCTGAGCTGAAGGGCTCAGCTCCCTGCAGCCTCAGCTCAGGGCGTGCAGCCTGCTTATTGTCAATGCAGCCACACTGGAGAGGGCTGCGTGGAACTTCTAGGGCACTCTTACTTAGCCTACAGGGGCTGGGAGGAAAAGGACTTTTCAAAATAGTTTGTAGAAATACCTCTTTCTTGGTGCCTTTGTTAAGGGTCCCTCAGTGGATCTGATTATTGTTGTGGTACTTTTTTAGCAAGTACTGCTTTACTTCACTGATACAATACAGGAGCTGGAAATACTTTTCTTTTTGGAACTGAGTAGAAACCCATGAAGTGCTTCTAAGGTGCACTTATTGGGTCAGAAGATCAGGAAGGTCCCAGTGGTTGGGCTTCTATAACAAAATTGTCATAAAAACAGAATCTGATTTTGGAGTGTGTATATTTAATTTGGAGCTTTAGAGGCTCCCTTTAAGGCAGCTGTTCTGTTCTCTCCATGCTTTCAAACCAAGCTGTATTTTCAGAGTCCTGTGCCATAAGACACAGGCTTCCCTTTTAGTAGCTAACAATTCTCTTTTGTCCAAATATTTGAAAAAGCTGTAAAATGCTTCTAAGCATTTTTTCCTGATCTTTGGCCACAGAGAACCACAGAGAAATGTGTATTAGAGAGAGAGGGCTTGTCCCACCTGCATGGTGTTCTGTTTTTCCTGAGGAGGCTGCTGCTCACTCCTGTGGCAGTAAGCACCAGGAAAAAGTGGCTAGCACAAAAGGGAAAGCCTAGTAGATTTACTTTTTGATATCCAGGATCTTTCTGCTACCTCCTGTTAATTACAGTCTGAACTGTTGCCAAATCATCATGCCATTTCCTCTCAGCCTCAGAGCAAAATGCAAGCTATAAAGAATGCCCTTTCTAGTTCATATTTTTAGAACTGCTTAAGAAGAATTATTACTGTCACTGGACTTTACAACAGGCTCCTTAGTGTCCTCCAGTATTAAGCTCTTCCCTCTTGAGCAGTAGCAGTGGTGCTAAGCCTTGACTGCAAAATCCTAATCCCCCTGTAACCTACTGCATCTGGGAACACTGTGATTTCAGGAAGGAGCCAAAGAACAAGGAAGGCATTGCTCCCATCAGCCTCACAAGGCTGCCTTGTATGGTAGAGGGAGCTTGGTTTGTTCTGCACAGTGCATTCATGGGGACTGAAGGAGTAATGTGATAAATGTAATGTAAAATTCCTTGCGAGCCGAAAACACAGATATAGCGAACTTGTTTCACCAAGGGTGGTTTAGTTATGGGGCTGGATGATGTGTCGTATGGGGTTTACTGACTGAGAAATTCATATAATGCTAGAATTTGTGAATTAACATGCCGTGTCTTCCATTTAGGAGCATTCTGGAAGAGTTTTTCGACTTCAGTTTGACGAGTTCCAGATTGTCAGCAGCTCACATGATGACACCATCCTCATCTGGGATTTTCTGAATGACCCAGCTGCCCAAGCAGAATCCACTCGTTCCCCATCCAGAACATACACCTACATCTCAAGATAAATAACAGTACACTGTACCTCACACTCGCACAGGTAAAAATTATCTCAAAGATGACACTGGATGTAATGTGAGCATGCAGCTTGAATACTTACCTGGGTCTATCAGTATTTCTTGTTTTGATTGGACAGTAACTGCAATGTCCTGTAAAAGGACAGGAGTGGTTCTGTTGCCTTACAGGAAGGTCTTTATCCAAGTATTTGTGACATGTGGTGTCCGTGAGTTCCCATGAAGAACTCCTCCACTGTCCATCATCATCAATAATTAAATCAGCTATTACTGCTGTCTAGAAGGAAGAAGGGTTTCTGCAGAGCGATTAGAGCAGCTGCTGCCTAACAAGGGGATGCAGATGGCCTGACCCTGGGCAGTTGTCACCAGGCAGGAGTGTTTTGCCAAGAGGCGTCAGCTTTATTCCCTCCTGATGAAGTGGTGACCATTCTTCTCACTCTGCAGCAAGCTAATTCAAGAGAACTGTTTGGCTAAGGGAGGAGGCACTGAGGCACAAGACCAGGCAAATTAAGTCGAGATGCATCAATATGCAAAATCATTTACTGACTGGGCCCAGCACTCCTTTACACTCCAGCTACAGCATGGGTGTAAATTGCTCATGTCTGAGCCTGGCTGGTTTGCTTATTGCCTTATCCTTTTGTCTTGGCCAACATAATATGGAGAGGAAATTTGTGTTTCTTAAGATTGGGTCAATTGCAGAGTGGATCTGATGTCTAATCAGAGTGGCGTGGCATGATTCCCCACTGTGATGGGTACCACTGCTGTTAGTAGCTTGAGAAAAAAGGCAGATGATCTGGCAGGCTTCTGCAGGGAGTGTTCACAGTGACATTTTTCCATGAAAATGCTCTGTTCTGGAGAACATCTTATATCTTGTTTGATGAGTAAATACAGAGTGGTGTGCCAGGGCTGTCACATCAGCTGTCTTGATTTTCTCAAAGACTCTGATCAGTAAGACATTATTTTCAATCATTGAAAGGCTTAGTACAAATGGGGTTTGTTTGGTTTCTTCTCTTTTTTGTTCTCAGGACTCATTTAAGCTGCAGTATTTATATTATCTGCCAATGCCAGGACAAAAGAACTATCCACGTAACCAATACTTGCCGAAGAGAGAAGGCTCTCAGACTTGTTTCTGGAACAAAGTTGGCATGCGGTTGATCTCAGACAGGGTCTACTCAGCGTGGCTGACTGCTAAAGTGCTGCTATATCAGAAGATGACTTTTATCTTTCGTGAACTAATAACATTTTTAAACCTCCCCATCCCTTTCCTCCCTCATTCCCATTTTCCTGTTCACTCCCCTTCCTTTTACCCTGTTTGGTTTCCCTCCAAACCCAGTCACAGATGTCCTGTGAATATATTTAAGATGTTGCCAGAATGTGTTGCTTTGCTGTTAAGCAGAAGACTTACAGTCACAGTTCACCCTGTTGGGAGAGTCACCTCAGGGTGGGAGGGTGGGTGGGGAGGAGGCTGCTACTCTCCCACTGAAATCCATCTCCATTGCTAGCCTTTTTAAAAGCATTCAGCTCTGAAGAGCGACAGAAACGCCAGACCTCACCCCCCACACCCACTGCAGCTTTTGGCTGTTCTGACCATTCTTTTGGAGGGAGGACCCTTGAAATTTGACTATGATGAGCCAAATCCATCTCTGTTCTCTCCTGCCTGCTCTGCTAACCCTCTGAAAGCTGGATGTGCATTGTAGTCTCCTTTAACATCTGCTTGGCTGGGGAACGCTATTCAGTGAAAAGTTAAGCTCTCCTCTTGCAAAGTCCCAAGCATGAGGGACTGGGGCTGATGTCCAGCTCCCCCTATCCTGGTGCAGCATTGTCTGAGGGCAGTATTTCCCTAACAAAGGAATCATTTGTGCAAAGGACAATCTAACCCCTGTTTTTCTCCCTGAAGGCAGTGTGTTGCCAATGGCTTAGGAACCGTTCTCTGTTTTGGATGAGGTTTGAGGCTGGGGCGAGGAGGGGAGCTGGATATGCCCCTGCCTTTCCATCCAAAAGCACAGTCCCCTGGTGATGGCAGGTGGGTAGTGGTGGCCATGAGCACAGGCAGTAGGGTTAGCAGTTCTGCAGCATATCTGGGGCTGGCCTTGCTAAAAAGCCTTAGGTGGGAGGGATAAGATTGCCTTTGTGTGTGCTTCTCTAACCTGTGTGCATGCTGCATTGCGGTTTAGGGACACAGGATGATTAGTCCCTTTGCTGGTAGCTGAGCTGGATCTTTGCTCTCTAGCTGAGCCTTTTGCAAATTGCTGTTGTTTAGAAGATAAAAATAGCCCTGGAGGGGAGGGACGTGTGAAACAATTCTGCATGTCTCTGAACTAGACAGAGATCTGATGTGACACGGCTCTTTTTACTGAGCTGAAGGGAATTGCAGCAGGCCTGCAACTGGATTAGGAAAGGGTGTATATCAGTCCCTGGCCATTCCAGGCCATGCCCACATCTTAAATAACCCTCAATGCTTCAGTGGGGAGTTCCAGTCCTGCAGTGGGAAACAGGGTCCTTTGTCTCTGGGCTGGAAGGGTTTTAAAAGGGTTTAAAAGGGTTTAAAAGCGTTTCTAATACCCTTTAAACTTGGAACTTGGCAGATGGGATGTTTTATTCAGCTATTCTCATCAGTTTCACTTTGCTAGGAAAGCAGTTGTGTTGTTTCTAATTGCTTGGGATGTGTTTTTTCCACCAATGAAGTTTTGCAAGGAGCTGGACCCAGAGAGCAGTCCAGAGGGCTTAAATTCTTCTGGTGATGGTCAGGATGGACAAGATGGCAATGGATATATGGGGGAATGGAAAGCAGGTGCTTGGGGAGCACCTGGTGTAGTTCCTGAAATGCATGAGCAGCAGTGCTGAGCACCCAGCTCCTGTATTTTCATTGAGCACGGAGACTGCATCAGTTCAAAGGAGCAGCTAAGAGCATGTGATGACACTCCCGTTTTCTGTTTGAACTATTGCTGTAAAAAGGGTCTCACAGGTTAGCTCTACTCTGCTCAGGTAGCACTGACAGTATGACTTACCTCTGCAGAGTCCTGAATGTTCTGGATCATAATAATATGTTCATCTGCAACTAATGATGCTACTTTTGAGTCTAAGAAGGTTGCTGTGGATTTCAGACAGTTATACATATCAGGTGCACTGCAGTCCCAGAGCAAAACTGGCAGGGGAGCAGAAAGCATCCAGGTTTACACCCCAGACTTCTCTCAGTTGAAGTTCAGAGTCTAATTCTTAATCCTACTTGCACGTGGTTCCTCTTAGTTCAGTTACTACAAGGTCTGCAGCATGGTTACATATCAGTAGGGGATAAACCTTGGCTTCAGATCTAATAGTCACTTTCCTCATCTTGTCTGGTTGTCCTCTGTCTTTTATGTTTAGGTTACTGTGGAAAACAGTGATCTGTTACTCCAGCCTCTGACAGCTGCAGAACTTCCTAATATTTTAGTTGCTTGCATCTTTGTGGGTAGCACCTGCAGAGGTATGTTTTTATTTTACCATCTGCAGAAGTCTGGGAGAACTAGAAGACTGGCTGGCCAGGCGCAGGGAGCGCACTGGTGCAGATTGCCATGGTTGTCATAGCCCTGCTGCTCCATGCTGCTGTGTTGTAACTTCTAAGTGCTGGGTATTTCAAGTGGTACTGTAGTTTAAACTCTGCTGTCTAGAGCTGTTTAAGGTACAGGTACAGTTTGTGACAACAGCTGAACTCCCGTTTTTTGGCAAACATAGGAACAGTGTCTCCCCTTCAAGTAGGGGCTGTGTCTGGGTACTTCATACAGAACTGCAGGAGGGTGAGGATTCTGAACCCATCCCTGAGTTGTACACATTTTCTGATAGCTAGGAAGGAAACTGAAGTGAACTGATGTAACTTGAACTTGAAGCTGCCACAGGCTGGCACTTGGTGGTGTTCATTGTGCACCCAGGGAGGAGCAATCTGGTAAGTACATCTCCCAGAGTCAGAGGAGAGTGGCTTTTTCAAACTTCCCCCCCCCGTAGGATACATGTGCTTGTGTGTGTGAGAGTGCAAGAACACCTGTGAGAGAGGTTTCAGCATGAACTGAATGGGTAATCCCTCAGCCAGGTTGGAGTAATTGCAGAGCTTATGATGAAAAGAGCTAGCACCTGCCTGCAGAAAGGAGATAAAAGGGGCTGGAGGTGTCTGTGGGCTTTAAGTGTTGCACATCACTTTGAAATGAAATACCTCTGCTGCATAGAGATCATCACTTCTCCCACAAGCAGGGAGCTCGCAGAGCTTTCCCCTTGGACTGCGGGATCCAAGTACTGCAGGTGTGGGACATCAGAGCAGGACAGTTCCTCTAGCCACACCGTCTACTGCTTGTGACTCCTTTGGCAATAGGACACCGTCTTGCTGCAAATATTTCTCATCCTCAGAGGAATTCAGCTTGCTTTAAAATATGCAAATAGAAAATGGCACGAAGGAATTTGCAGCGAGAGAACTTGTGCGGCTGTCTCCTCCCCATTAACCTTCAGGGACAGACACGTCCGCTACTGGAAGGGAAGGATGCAGGTGACAAGTTGAGAAGCCTGATCATCAGAAATGTTGAAATGCTTTACACTTGTTCCTAAACTGGAAGCTGACTTGGACCACCGTGCTCCACCTACCTGCCACCTGCTCCTGCTCTAAAGGATCCTTTTTTCTTTTTTTTTTCTTTTTTTTTTTTTTTAACAACACTGAAAAAACTGGAGACTACCATGTGCGTTCCTGCGCCCCAGGTATGTTCCCTGCCCCTGTCATGCACTCCTTCCTCAGTCTGAGCAGGGCTCCAGGCTTGGCTCTCAGTTCTTCAGCATCCTGGCTCTGATGGGGCAGCACGTCTCTGAGAGCGCCTTCCTTTCACACCTGTAGGTCTGACTGTTGTGGCTGATGCAGTCAGTGTTTGTGCTGAGGCACTAGCGGCTCTCCTTGGTGAGAGATGTGAGGAGAGGAGCCCCAGCCTTCCTGCTGCAGGCCTGGGGAGAGGAGGAGATAACCGTGTGGCTGAAGGCTAGGAGGGAACTGTGGGGGTGAGATGGAGCTCTGCACGAGTGGGGACAGTGCTACAAAAACAGGTTTCTTAGCTGGGGTACTTCCCTCACGAGGATGAAGGGTTACTGTGAGGACATCTGAAATGCCAGAAGGTCATCAAGCAGTGCCTGCAGGAATGGGTGGGTCTGTTGATGCCCACCTTTATGTTGTACTGGGGGCACGGGGTGAGAGGTCTGAACTGCAGTGACCAAGAGGACTTTGCCAGGTCTCCCAGTGGCATGCATGATGCACTAACGTGCTGAGCCTTGCCCTGCTGCTGTTCCCTAAGGAGCAATAATAGCTTCCCAGAAGGAAGGGGAACAGCAGGAGACCCAGCTGTCCCTGGAGTGGTCTCCATATGAAATCCTTCCTTCATCCTGCCAGCAAGTCCCATTGGGTTGATTGGCATGAGGGCCACGGTCGTTTTCCTCACACTTAATACCAAAACAGAAACATCAGGTCCCACGGGCACATTCCTTCTGCCCATCCCCAGCAGTGGGCTGGGAGGGATGGTCACCTGCTGAGGCTGAGATTTGGTTCCCCTGCTTTCCCCCTCACTCCTTTTTTTTTATAATGAGCTGTAGCCTAACTCCTGGCACGTTCCCAGAGCTTCTCTCCCGTGGTGAGCTTTGATACACAGCCAGAATAAATCATCCTTTGTCTTGTCAGAAAATTCTCCCCGTGACTTTGTGCTTGTTCCCAAAGACCGCTGGGCTTCCCTGCTTGTCCCGTGGATATCCCACAGGAGTTGTCACCACTGGTTAATCTTCGGTGACGTTAAACTGATAGACTGAAAATCATAGGGATGCTGATGTGCATGGATGTATGAGCCCTTAATGTATGGTAACTGACTGCTGGATGGGTCTCTTTTGTAGTACATGGTCACCCCAAAAACTGTCCTGTGCTACATCCCTGCTCAGACTGAGGGCTGGGGGGGAAAGGACGTGGCTTCTCCAGAGTTTTCAGTTTGTTACTCTGCTATATTTGTTATCTGGATTCTTAAGTAACGAGTGCTTTGAATTTTGTGATTATGTTACGGTGATGTGTAGTTAATGTACTAATGTTCACTTGAGCTAGGGTCATGGTAACAGTGTGGTTTGTTTTTTTTAACTGTTCAGAAAATAACTTAAATACAAATACAAAGGTTAAGCTGTGAACCTCTCCTGTTTTCCTTTTGGGATGAAGGACAGTGTTGGACCATCACGGCTGTGCCTTGCACTTGGACAGCACGAACCTCCCTGTCCCAGCACCAGCCTGGGGGCTGCTCCCGGGGCCCGTGTGCATGCTCTGGAAGGCGGAAAGAGGAGGAGAAAAAAAAAAAAACACCACCACTTTTTCCTAAAACCACAGCATACTTTTTAATTAACAAACTCCATTGAATGACTGGTGGCCTCTAGCTGGGGCGAATGAGTCTGCCCTGTAAGTCAGAGCGGATGTGATGCACCGAGCCACAACCATCTTGCCTATAAAAGTATAAAGACTGTGCTTTTCTGGGTACACTTGCAAGATCCTGGTAGGAGAAGCACAAATTTGTTTTATAAGCTAATCAGAATCCTGCTGTTCAATAATGAGTGAGTAATTGACATATCGCGGCACCGCCATGCGACACAATGGCTGGGGATGCTGAAATGCTGACGATTCAAACGCGAGCACCCTTGGCCTCAGAATACCTTTCTCTTAAAAATGCTCTGTGGATGGCAACCTCAGATCTTCCCATTTTACTTAACAGCCCCTTTTAAAACAAAGGCGACTGCGGTTTTAAGATCCCAGCTCCCAGGGTGGGCAGAAAACAAACACGCGCCGCGCGCCCGCTGCCATTCTCCCTGCTGGCTCCATTCTTGGGAACCAGCAGGGGATGGAGATTGCGAACCTCCTGCTTTCTGCAGGGCTGGGAGTCCTGTCACCTCCAATCCCCATCTCTCCTTGTGACAGCATTCCCAGCAGCCGGGTGCTTTGTTTGGAGAGGGTCGGGTTTTTAATACATACATCATCTATTTATGCTGCTTTATCCTCTGCTGTTCCTATCCTGCTCTATCCCTAGCCAACCCTTCCTCTCCTTCCTGTTGATGCCCAAAGACAAGGGTCATCGAATCAGAGAGTGATTGAGTTGGAAGGGACCCCAGAGGTGAGAAAATCACAGAGTGGTTGGGCTGGAAGGGACCGCAAAGATGGGAGAATCACAGAATAGTTGGGCTGGAGGGGACCCCAAAGACCATCCAGTTCCAACCCATCAGAGTGGGCTGGAGAACTCTTCCCAGCAATTCTGCCTTCACATCCAGGAACTCAGGACCTGAAGCTCTCTCCTCTCTGAGACAGAAAAGCAATCTTCATTGTAAATTTCTGCAGGAACGGAGTGAGTACCAGGCAGCTTATCTTAAATAGATTCAGTGCTTAATTACCCTTTCCTTTTAAAAATGTGTGCCTTATTTCCACTTCAAATGAAGAAGGAAAGTAATGTTTGCCATATCTCCAAATTAACAGCGTTTGATCGACCCACGGCTTTAAAATGAAATTTTCTGGTGGTGGTTTCTTTCTTTTTTTTTCTTTCAATTTTATATGCACACTTCAGTAAGGTGTGTTTTGGGAAGAGGGAAATTGGTCAGTGTCGGCCTGCTGGGCAAGTTAATGGTGGGAGCCTCGTGGCTGCTGAGGATGTTTGCTGAGGTGAGGGGGCTGCCGTGCCAGGGACTGCTGGGCTTGGAGGGGGAAAACCTGGGCTTGGAAGGGCTCCGTGCAGGTACGTGGCCTTCCTGCAGTGGGAGACACCCAGATAAGGAGGTGACTGTGAGCGGTCCTGCAGGGGTGACAGTGGGAAGGAATGGGATGGATTGGGGTCTGGCTGCCGCTTTCCCCCCAAAGCACATGGGGTCAGGGAGCCCCTGCGTGGAGGAAAGGAGGACCAGGGCTGCCAGTAAGTCACAGCGCTGAGCTGCATCCCAGCACGGAGCAGTGGGGGTTGCTTGCCAGCACTTGTCCCCATCACACCGTGTGCCACCATCACTGGGTCAGCTCGCAGGGGTGTCTCCAATTAACCCAGCTCCCCAGTGGCCCTTAACTGACACCCCAGGCTTCCTCCTCACTCTCCTCACTTCCTGCCCTGTGGCCCCCACCTGCACATCCACCAAAGCTCTCCTAGCAGCTGCTGGGGACCAGTGACGATAACCCAGATTTACTCCTATATCCAGGTGCCCCCTGACAGCAGTTTTGTCCTTCTGCTCTGAGGACAGAGCCCTCAGAGTGCCAGAGCTCTATGTGGGTCGATGCCCCAGTGAAGACATGGGGACGCTGAGGCAGAGAGAGATGGAGGGACTCTCAGAACATGATTGCAGGACACAGGGAGTCCCACATGGAGGGACCTGTCCCACGGTGGGGCCAGCCAGCCTGGCCTGTCCCTTTTAAGCTTTTGGAGCTGTTGCCAGCCTGGCTTAGTGGGGTCCCCATCCTTTCGACTGGCTGTTCAGCAAATTAAGAGCTTGCTATTAGGCTGCTAATTAAAGGCACTTCATTAGCAGCAGGGGAGGCAGCTCCTGGCCGCAGCAAAATTGGATTCCTCTGAGCTGCCATGAGCTGTATCTCTACTCTCTGGGGCTGGGGGCTGCACCCCGGGGCTGGGGGCTCTGTCACCCTGGTCCTGACAAGGGCAGATGCCCCCATTCATCAGGACACGTGGGTCACCAGCCCTCCTACCCTCATCACAGCAGATGGAGCATAGCTGCTCCGCAGCCCGATGTGATGGTGGGGGGCTGATGGGGGTGCTGGGAGATGTAGGCACCCCCTTCATCCCTCTGCCTCCAGTTCTGAAGAGCCCCATTGAGGCAGGGAGGGCCCCAGACTCCTCCTCCGTCCGCTTTGAAGCCTCCAATGAGCCCAGGGGACAACACCCAGACTGCCTTTCCTTCTTTTCCTTCCCTTTGCCTCCTTCCATCTGAAAATGGGAGAGAAGAGCCAGACGCAGGGGCTGCCTTCCTCCCCTCATCCTCAGACTGACAAGAAGGGGACCCCGCAGCCCAGCAGGGACATCAGTGGGGTGAGTGTTGGGTGGACAGGGGGCAGGGTTGGGGGGATGCCCCATCCCCATTCCCCACGTCCCTCATGGTGTGCAAACCCCCCAGTTCCCAGCTCGGGATTCCTACTGGGATTAGTGAGGATTTGGTGTGCGTGAGCCGGGAGCTGCTGAGTGCTATGGATCTGGCTACTGGGCTCAGGAAGGGGGTCTGGGGGAGAAGAAGCTCCCAGGACTGGGACTTGGCTACTGGGGAGCTCTGTGGGGCTGGGGTAGTGCTTGGAACAGGGCTCTGTTGCTCTCCTCTCCCCCAGTGCCTCACCTGCCCCCTGCTCTCCGTCACCCTCCTGGTATCCTTTGGCTCCTCCATGCTCTATGGCTACAACCTGGCCGTGGTGAACTCGCCAGCGGCGGTAAGGAATGGCACAGCCCCACCGGGATCTGTATCCCTCCATGGAGGTGGTGGGACCCCTACTCCTGCCCCACAGTGAAGTGCTGGCTCTTCCCTCAGGCTGTGCCCCAGGGCTGGCTGTGATGCTGTTGGCCCCCCGCCTTTCTCCTCTCCAGTCAGTGCCCATCTCTCTGCCCCACAGCACATAAAGGCCTTCTACAACGCCACATGGTCCCAGCGCTATGGGCACGGGCTGCCCCCTGGGCCCCTCACCCTCCTCTACTCTCTGACCGTCTCCATCTTCGCCCTGGGTGGGCTGGGGGGCTCTTTGCTGGTGGGGACTCTGGTGGCACGCTATGGCAGGTAAGGGGGTGGCACGGGGCAGATGGGGCTGTAGGGGCTGCCCCACTGCTGTGTGTACCCCATAGGCACGGCACACTGGGACGCAGCGCTCTGCTCGTCCTCCTGGCTGGTGGCCTCATGGCCTTCAGCCGGCAGCTGGCAGCCCCCGAGATGGTGATCATCGGCCGTGCCATCACTGGGCTGCACTCAGGTGGGTGGAGAAGACCCTAACCCTAACCATGGGAGGGTCTGGGGGTTGTCTGTGTGGCCACCTCCCTGCCCACAGCCAGGCCCTGCTGTCCATGCTGCCCAGGTATCTGTCTCAGCGTGGTTCCCCTCTACCTGGGAGAAATCGCCCCCAAGAACCTGCGGGGCTTCCTGGGCCTCCTGCCCAGCATCTTCATCTGCCTGGGGGTGTTCTGCGCACAGGTGCTGGGGCTGCCTGAGCTGCTGGGCCAGGTGAGCATCGCCCAATGGGGTACAGCCCAATGGGGTGTCCCCCAGTGGGTTACCCCCTAATGGAATGTCCCCCTCCTGCCCCTACCATAGGCCCTGCACTGCCCTCCCGATGACACATCTCCATCTCCGCTCTCCCCAGGACAGGTACTGGCCCCTGTTCCTAGCGGTGGTGGCCATCCCTGCCTCCCTCCAGCTCCTGTTGCTGCATTGCTTCCCCGAGAGCCCGCGGTTCCTGCTGATAGAGAGGAATGACATCTGTGGGGCCACTGAGGGTGAGGGCTGTCCTAGGGGGAACCACCCGTGTGTGTGCAACCTACCACACTACCCTGACAGCCCACATACCCCATATAACCCGAATCTTCTCTCCCACTCAACTATCCCATAGCATTTCCCCAGTGCCCATCACTGTGGTGTCAGGGCATCTCCCTGACTCCCAGGGATGCACAGCCCCGCAGATCCCCCCATGCCATGTTTATGAGCACCCATCCACCCTCACCCACAGCGCTGCGCCGGTTCCTGGGGACACCTGATGTGCAGGAGGTGCTGGAGGAGATGAAGGAGGAGCAGCAGTCCCTCTCCTCGGTGCAGACGGTCTCTGTCCGACAGCTGCTGCAGGACCGCTCGGTGCGCTGGCAGACCCTCTCGGTGGTGGTGGTGAATGTGGGCATGCAGCTCTCAGGGATTGATGCCGTGAGTCCTGGTCCTGAAACCTGGTTCTGCAGGGACACAGAGTTCTGTGCCCCCCCTCACATGAGTCCCTTCCTTGGCAGATCTGGTTTTACACCAACACCATCTTCCAGAACGCAGGGATCTCCAAATCCCAGATCCCATACACCACTGTGGGCACCGGCGCCATTGAAGTTGTTGCGGGGCTGATTGGGGTGAGTGAGGGATGGACAGACAGACAGACCTCAGCACCCAGCACCGTTGAGCCTTGGGTCAGATAGACCCCATATCCACCTGTGCCACTCTCTGCAGGGGATGGCAGGAAAACGGGGTGGAAGAATGGGGTGAGAAGGCTCAATTTTTAGGACATACATCTGAATGAGGACATAGAGGTGCCACCAGGCACATTCCATGCCTGCAGCTGGACCTGGACCCACAGGGTACCCTCACCACCACAGTGGGATCCCCATTGTCCCCTTGCTTTCTGCTCTCCTCTGGCAGTGCTTCACCATTGAGAAGCTGGGCCGGCGGCCCCTCATCATCACCGGGTTCTGTGCCATGGGCACTTGCCTGGCAGGCATCACCGGCTGCCTGCTGCTTCAGGTAGGGTTGGGACATTGCCATTCCATGAGCCTTCAGTGCATTAATGAGTTTCCAACCCCTGGCAACACTTAATGAGGGCTGGGTGGTGAAGGGATGAATCATAGACCCACAGAACCATTAAGGTTGGAAAAGATCACTGAGATCACCAAGTCCAACTGTCAACTCTCCGGTGGATGGGATGGGTTCTCCCTGAGCTGGCCCTGCTTTGCCCCAGACCAGCCATATCTCTTCTTACTGGTGTCCCACCATCCCGTGTCCCACCACAGACTGCCCTGCCCTGGATGCGCTACGTCGTCGTTGCCTGCGTGGTGGGCATCATCGCTGGGTTCTGCATGGGGCCAGGTGGGTCTGGGGGCTGTGGGGCTGGGGGTGGGGACAGGGGACAGCACAGAGCTGGGTGCTCCAGACCTCAGGCACAGAACCTGCACTGCTTTACCCAGTTGATGTATTAGCAGAGCCGTTAGCAGATCTATAATTCATCCTCAGCCCAGACTTTATTCACTGTAATTACATCTTTAATTAGGATTTTAATGGCTCATTGTTCACAAACAATGATGAATAGGACTTTTATAACAAAAATATACATATCTCTATTCTGGGCGAGCTGTGAGTAAGAGTCCATCGGGGGCTGCTCTCCTCCCGGAGTTATTATCACTTTTGTTTTCTTGTTCATTTCCTTCCTGGAGCCACCTCTCATGAGGATGACTTGAGCATCCCCATCCCCAGCACTGGGACCCCGGGCACAGCACCAGGACCGAAGCTTCCCAATCCAATACCCATCCCATTGTCCCAAAAAGCCATGACATCCTGGTCCCCTGCCACTGACCCATCCATCCCTATGCAGCTGGTGTCCCCTTCCTGATGACGGCCGAGCTCTTCACGCAGTCCCACCGCTCGGCTGCCTATGTCCTGGGGGGGTCTCTCAATTGGCTCTGCAATTTCACCATCGGCTTCGTCTTCCCGTTCCTGCAGGTAATGGCCTCGAGTTGGGCACTGGTGTGGGCATGACCCCTCTGCTCTCCCAGGAGCCAAGACCAGCTGCCCCAACCCTTCCCTCTCCTTCCTTGTCCCCAGATGTCAACCGGTGCCTTTTCCTACTTGGTTTTCTGTGGGGTCTGCCTGCTGGTGGCCCTCTATGTCTACCTCATCATCCCCGAGACCAAGAACAAGACCTTTGTGGAGATCAGCCGTGTCTTTGCTGCCCGCCAACCCCTCGCCCCACTGTGCCACGCGGGGATGCTGAGGCTCCATGGATACGGGGCCATGGAGAGCAGCCTGGAGGGCTCAGAGCACAGCTGAGGTAGTGCTGAGAGGGGAGCAGGGGACAATGGTGGATCTCGCTGGACGTCTTGTCAACCCACAGCCTGACAATGCACATGGGAACAGCGTCTGGTCCATATGGGTCCCTACTGCCTGGTCCCAACACCATGGAAGCAGAGATCACGGCCCCATAGCATCCTCCACGTCCCCCTCCCGACTCGGCTGCTCTCGGCAGCAGAACAGAGCGGTAAATATGTGCAGCATTACATATGTATAATGGAGTGTAAATAACCCCAAAAAGTGCATTGTAAATAGACTCCAAGTTTATCCTTTATTAATGAGGCACTGAGTGCCCTGCTGTTTTAGAGCAGCGAGACTTTCATAATATCAAAACCTAAATTACACTTGTGTCTCTCATTCCCAGCAAACGACAGCATCATTTCAGGCCTCTTTGCCACTGGTATTTATTTATTCTGGTATTTATTTATCTCTCCCACCCGGCGTGCTGGGCAGCCTGGGAGATGCCCTGTGCCCTCCCTGTGGCAAGCAGTGACCCCTCGGCCCCTGCATGCCGGTGTGACCCATGAGCCCTGCTGTTACGTTATAGAATCATTAAGGTTGGAAGAGACCTCTAACATCATTGAGCCCAAACAGCCTCCTACCACCAATATTGTCCACTGAACTGAGGCTGAGGCACAGGTTGCCCAGAGAGGTGGTGTGTGGGGACATCCACCTCCACCAAGGTCAGGCTGGATGGGCTCTGAGCACCTGATGAAGCTGCAGGTGCCCCTGTTCAATGCAGGAGAATGGGACCAGATGGCATTTAAGAGTTCCTTCAACTCAAACGATTTAGATAGTTCTAAATAATCCTCACGGGCTGGGAGAAGTACAGGGCTCCAGCACTGGCCAAACCCACAAAAAGGATTCAGCCATACTCAGAGGGCACTGAGGATGAGGAGATGACACAGCCACAGTGAGGGGTAGGCTTTATAAAAACCTGAGGTGTTACAAAGAAGTGACTTCTGTACCGTGAGGGTACTCACGGCCTTGGAAGGATCTGTGGAAGCAAAGACAGAGCTGATCTTCTCCAGGTGCCTTCCTATGCTGTGCCCAGTGCTGGGGGAGGAAGCACTGAGTGGAGAGGAGAACGGAGATTTGTGTCATTCCAAACCATAACACATCTCCTTGGATCCAACATTCCCCAACCCAACCTCTCCAGAAGACATCTTTAAAGGATGAGCTATTCAGAAATTAGCTGTATGTATAGAAGCGTGCTTCCCTATAGAAACAGAAGGAAGGATCCCGTACGGGCGGAGCGGGTCGGTGCCGGGGCGGTCGGGGCGCGGGGTGCGCGCCAGCAGATGGCACTGCCGGGATTTATGGCTGCAGCAAGCTGCCTCTCGGAGAGCACTCATGTAGGAGATGTCCTATTATATGGGCAGTTGACTTTAATAGTCATTGTGTGCTTAAAGCACAGCAAAACAACAGTGGGAAAAAGAGAAAAAAAAAAAAGAAAAAAAAAAGAAGGAAAAAAAGAAAAGAAATCCCCACTCCACTCGGATGGCCCTTTCCCCCCCCAGCCCTGCTAGTCTATTTGTACAGTAAATTAAAAATATGAATCACTTCTCTCTACTGCCTCCCCAAACACTCATCCTGTCAGGCGCTGTGTTGTCTTCATTTGTATTACCTTAATTTAATGTTAATTATGTTCTTCATTTACAAAGAACACGCGTCCGCACTCCCCGCCGGGGGATTTTCCACGCTGCTCTCTCTGCAGAGCAGGAGATTCTGCAGAGTGCAGGGACAGGGCAGCAGGGGTGCTGTGTGCCCCCACCCCTATTGCTGCTATTGCCTCTCGATGGATGGAAGCACATCGCTGCCACTGCACCCAAGTCGTGTCCCACCCCTCCCGTCCCCCCAATAAATCCTTCCTAAAAGGTGGTCGGCCCATGGAGGGCAGTGATTTATGGAGGGAGCGCTTGGGGACGCAGCGTTGTGTGCCTCAGTTTCCCCATCGGCTGTTGGGGAAACCCCAAACTCCCAACCTGGAAGAGGGTGGGATGTCCTGGGACGTGACGGGCAGAGCTGGGAAGGCAGTGGGCAGAACTGGCTGGGAGCACCCACCAAAAGCCCCCAAATACCCTGCAGAGGTATTAGAAATACAGATATTAAATTAAAAATCCGCCCAAACCTTCTTATTCTGTGTTATTACCCAAAGAATAGAAAAGAACTAAAAATGACAGCCCCCCCCTGTGAAGACCCGTGATCCCAAGCACCTTTCTCCCTATCCCCACCCTCCAGTTTCCATGGAAACAGCCAAATATCGGGGGGCAAAGCCCTGAGCACCCCCAAGCACAAATTATCAGCAGCTGCAGGCTGTGGTCAGGTCCCTGGTGGGGGGCATGGGGGTTTCCCCTCCCTCCCACCAACCCATGGGGCTGAGGCTGCTCACTTCATCACACCAACGCCTCCAATGAGCTCCAAGGGCACAAACCCTTGGGGTGGGACATGGGGGGCCATCCCACTTATCCCCTCCCCTCTTACCAAAGACCTTTCTGCTGATTCCCAGCCCCAAATGCGATGCAGGAGATGCTGTGTCCTCCAGCAGAAAGCCACGGCTGTGTCCGCATGCAGTGACACGCTCGTGCCAACATTTTAATTAATGACAATGGCTCTTTTTTTTTTTTTCCCTTTTTTTTCTTCTTTTTTTTTCTTTTTTTTTTCCCTTTTTTTTTTTTTTTTAGCTGTTTTGTTTTTTTTTTTTTTCCCTCTCTCTCCCCCATAAGCGCTTTAATGCGTGCGCTCAGCCCGGCCGATCCCCACAGCCACGGAAATATTAGGTTGACGGATGTGGTCTGTCGCCAGCGCTCCCTCCGCGGGTCCGCCTGTCAGCCCGCCGATGATGACATTAACACGGGAAGAAAGTGATGACAAATGCCCGTTATCAGGGAACGAGGCCTGTGACAAATCGCACGGCGCCTCGCGAGCAGCCCCATTACGCTGTAATAAAAAAAGATGGATGGCTCCGCGCACCGGGGCCCCGCGCTAATGCGATTTCGCCTGGTCTCTCCGGGTTCTAATTAAGGCAGAAAACGGAGAATGAGCAGGAGGGTCCCCCCAGACCCAGATCCCCCCGTGGCTGTGGGTGCTGGCCGTTGGACTGTCCCAGTGGTGTCTCCTCGGAGCGTCCCCACAATGTCCTCTTGGGATGTTTCAGTGGTGTCTGCTTGGAGCATCCCAGTGATGTCCCCTTGGGGTATCCCCGTGATGAACCCTTGGGGTGTCTCAATGGTGTCCCCTTATGGTGTTCCCACAGTGAACCCTTGAGGTGTCCCAGTGGTGCTTCCTTGGGGTGTTTCAATGGCGTCCTCTTGGCGTGTCCCAATGGTACAACCTTAAGAGCAGGGTGGGGGTTCTGCTGCATCTCCTGTGAGCTGCTGCAGCTTTGCAGAGTATGGAAAATGGGGAGCAGAAAAATGCTATCCACTGAAAAGCATAACAAGTGCCCATCCAGACTGGCAGAGACCACAGCAGCAGAAGCCCGGAGGCACCATGGAGATCACTGCAGTACCAGGCACAGCAGCAAGAGTGAGACATTCCTGCTGTGGGCATTGCTCCATTGCTCCCTGGGAGCAGCAAGTGCCTTCAACCACCCACTCTCCAGGGGCTGTACTGTCCCAGCGTGGCACCCATGGCCATGAATTTGCTCCCGCTGCAGGGAATGGCGGGGGTAGAGGGAGGGAGCTGGGGGGGAGGCAGGTGGGGCCAGGGGTTGTAGCTGGGATTGGTGTTCCCAGAGTTCAAACCCATGGCCCGGCCTGACAAATGGGAAGGCAAAGCAGGCTGACTGCAGGAACAATTGGGGAGTTCTGCACCCCAGGGCTCAGCAGGAGGCAGAGGGAGCAGAGCAAGGGGACAATTTCAGGTTCTGCCATACCTGCATCAGGTGCTCCCGCTCCCTGAGGACGCACTGCTCTGCTGCTGATGGTCACAGAGCCATCCAAATCCCCCTGCTGTGATGAGCATCCTTCGAGGCTCAGTGCTGCCGGCTCAGGACCCCGCTGCGAGTAAAACTGGAGGAGGTGACAGGGATAGGTGCAGGAGCCGGGCTGTCACTGCGCCATCTCAACCCACCTCCTGCCCCGCCATCCCATCCCCGCAACAAGGAACTGCACGGAGCCGGGCCGCCTCCAGCTCGGGCATCCCCGCGCTGCCCTTACCCGGTCCTCCAGCTCCCTCTGCTGCCTGTCCCCTCACCTCTCCCTTGATTTCCGTCTCCTTTCCCGACGAGGTTCCTCATCATTTCCCCCTCCCACCCCACCTGCGCAGCTCTGGGCCGTGGCTGGGGCTGGTTGCGGGGCAGGACGAGGCTGCGAGCTCAGCCGGCAGGGAGTCCGGCCCCAAAGCCGGGTGCTCTCAAACCGCTCCTTCCAGCATTTGGGATTGATTTTTTCCCTCTCTGAGACCGGTGTCAGCGGCCCAGGAGCTGCCGGGCTGTTTCTTTTTCCGACTTGACACAAGCAGGTAAATTATCGGCAAGTAACACGTCTCCCATCCGAGGGGACTGGAGAGCCTGCCTCCCCTTTCCCGTGGTGACGGGAGCTGAGTTATGGCTCTGCTGGAGAGAAACGCCTCTGTAAACGCGGCTGTTTGTGCCGCTATGTGGCCCAATGAGAGCTCACCGATGGCCGGGCAGAAGGAGAGCCGGTCCTACAGCCCTGGGATGGGGGGCTGCGCGTTCTCAGACCTCGTGGCACTGCGGGGTGAAGGTTCTCATGGCTGGATAGTGCAAGTAATACATGGCACAAATATTTGGTGCCAAATAAGGCTGTTTTGGGGTGTATCTCTGTCTTTGCGCTCCCTGGAAACTGGGGTGATGTTTTGGCAACGAGTGAAACCCATGGAGCAAACAGCCCCAAGAAATGCAAGCAGGGAGGAAACTGAGGCACAGAGAGGCAGTGCAGCAAATGGAGACCTTCTGGGTTTGATCCAGGGCCTCAGGACCAGACCTTCTGAAAGGGCTTGGGACCATCCCCTCCCAGCCTCAAGCATTGGCTGCAGCACAGCACAGGGGTGAGACGTCTCTGAGCAATATAATTGCTTTGGGTTTGTTTTCCCTCAAGAATGGGTGAGGGGAGGGCTGGCTGGGTGGTGGCTGGGGCTCTGTGTCTCCCACCCATGAGCATCCCAGCAGGTCACACAGAGAGAGTATCAATCACTGCTGTGGGAACACAGCAGACATAGGGGCTGTGTAGGACCCCCAAGAACCGCCCCTATGGGCTGGGGGCACAGCCACCCCATACACAGGAGCCGCCCCAGCAGAGCAGGGTGCACTGGGCACACGGCTGCTGCCCTGGGACACCTCACAAGGTCCCCCATCCCCCCCCAGCTGCACCCCAGCAGCCATTCCCTCTCGCTCCACGCCGCACCGACGTCGCCCGGCCATCAATAGCACTCGGTTAATTAATTTGATGGGAACAGCAGGGACCGCACTTTGCATTTAGTGAACTTCTGAGAACTTCCAACCTCATCTTCATAATTGGCCTCATAAATTTGAGGAAAGAGAGAAATCAGCAAAGCTGGAGGAGCGAGGGAGGGCGGGAGAGGCCCAGCACGCGGGCGGGCAGGCGCGTGAGCAGCGACTCTATTTGGTGTCCTTATTTAATTTTATTGCACAGATCCATCTTCGCCCGCCCCCTCCCTGCCTGGCCCTCTCTCTCCCGCTCTCCCTGCTGGGTTCACCTAATCATGATAAATTCATATTCATTTCCCTGCCTGCCCCGGTGGGGGGAGCAGCTCCGCTCCGTTCTCCCGGCCGCGCTGCCATTAGCAAATATTTGCTCATGAGATGAAGTGCCACTGTTAGGAGCCCAAAGGGCCCCTCCGCACCCCTCTGCCCCCTCTTCCCCTGTAGGACAGGCACAGGGAGTGGGATGTGCCCCCCCTGGGGTAGGGAGCAGGGTGGGAAGAGCTGCCCTGATGTGACTCAGCATGGCTTTTTCCTCCTTTTACTTTAGGGGGCAGAGAGAGCTGCTGGGTGGGACAGCAATTGCCTGAACCCCCCATCCGTGCCCACACTGGGGGCACACAGGGCAGAAGTGGGAGCGAGAGGCTCTGTGGCAGGAACTCAATGCGTGTCCTGGCTCCAGAGCTTCTCACTCAGTCTCTTCAAGTGCTGCTGTGTTTGGGTTTCTTTTTAATTTTCAGGATGATCAGACTCACAGCCAGGGAGGACAGGAAGGGGGAAAGTACTGAAGGCCCTTCCTGGGGTGCAGGAACCAATCAACACCCCATGAGAGATGCCTAAAGCAATCTTTGCTCACCCTGTCAGCAGCCATCCTGGGGGCTCAGCACCCACAACCACACACCCCATCCCAGGCACTCCAGGAGCTCCGTTTGGGCCCTGAGCTTTGCACCTTCTTCTGTGTGACATTAGAAGAGACAGAAGCTGTGCTGGGGACACGTAGTGGCCAGCCCTGCTCTGCTGCACAGGCAGAGGAGTGGTCTGGGAGCCACACCTGGCTTTGGGAAATGCCAGACTGGAGGTAACCCCTACCTTGAGGTCTGCAAGTGACTCAGAAGATGCAGAGTGGGATTAGGGGCACACAGATGCTCTGTCCCCTCTGTGCTGGGAAGGAGGCTCTGCCCAGTCCAGCACTCATGGCAGGCAGCAAGATCCAGTCACTGGTGCTGCTCTGTCTGGCCCAGCACAAGGGGTAAGTGGGAGCCTTTGGAACCCAGAAGCATCACTCCTGGCGACTGGCAGGGCCATCGTGCTGCATCTGCAGGGGAAATGGCCCCATCCTTGGACCACACAGCTGTGGCTGCTGCTGGCCACGGGAGGGCTCTCTGCCCTCTCCAGAGCTCCTGGGCGGGGAGCTGAGGGATGGGAGGAGAGGGACACACAGAAGACCCTTCCCTCACAGTGCAAGGGGCTGGCAGGAGTTCTTCATGTCCCCAAGAAAGTCGCACTACCCAGAGAACAGCCCCAGCCTTCCCCCTTTGTAAAAGCACACACAGCCAGACCAGAGCTTTGCAGGGCTGCTGCAGCACCCATTTTGCACCACAGAGTGAATTGTGGTCCCAGAGGAAAGGACAAAGGGGAAAGAGATGGGGGACAGCAATACTGCATCTCCCCCACCTGTAGCGTTGTCCCCAGCATGTGACTCTGGTGAGAGGGGCAGCCCCAGTCCCACAAGGAACAGCTCACTGTGGCACCCAGAGCTGGATGAAAAAGAGATAAGGGATTTATTACACTTCATGTTTCAAAGCACCAATACATGCCAGAAGACATTCATTTCCACCAGGCGTGCTGTAGAAGGGCTGGGCTGACCAAGGACACTGCCTGGATTGAGTCCTCCCCAGCAAATACCCAGGCCTCACTGCAGGTCGCCAGCAGCCACAGCAGCCAGATTTGATGCCCTAGTGGCTGCCCTGGCAGCAAACACAGCTCATCCCTGCACGTGACAAGAAGCAGCAAAATGAAGAGTCGGGGTGGCAGGTCCCCTACAAGATAAGGGAGTGTAAGGCCAGATCAGCCCCAGAGACTGAGGCAGGAACACCCTGGCCTCACCAGCAGCTGATGCTGCAGAGCACTGAAAGCCTCTGCAAAATTCATCTCCAGAATATAAAAATAGTTGAGGTTTCCTGAGAAACAAAATTCACTCCCTTGGAATAGAAGGGGTTAACACACCTGTACATGAACACACAACACTGGCTCTGATCAATACAGACCAGATGACTTCCTGGTCATCACACACAAAAAATGGGAAAGCTCTGCTTTGCCCAGATTAACACTGATTTATCTGTGTTTCTCTCTGCTTCCATGCCTTGCATGCAAACACACAGCCTTAACAGGTTACATTCAGCACCATTACAATCCTGAGCACAGTCACCCTGAAGCCCAAGGGGCCATTTCTTTCCTGCACAGAGGGGAAAGAAGCCCTTGTGTCCAGGCCAGGAGGATCACAACACTCTGCACTGCAGAATGGTCAGCACATGATGGACTGAGAACATGTAGATGGACCACACTGGGTTTTTACATATTCCTCAGGGCTCACCTGGCTCCAGGGGAAGCTACTTGGCACTGTGCAATGAGACCCACTGGACAACACAAGTCAGACAGAGGGAGGACATAGCAGCAGCACAGGGAGACCTTTGTAGTTCTCACAACAGTAGATGCCAGCAGCAGCAAACAGAGAAAAGGGGCTCGTTTCCAGGCTAGGCCAGACCTCTGTTGCCTTCCTACACAGCTCAGGACAGAGATTATGGGGCACCTGTGCTCACACAGAGAGGAAGATGCATCCCTCTTCTCCACTTCCCAAGCACCAGGAGGGCTTTTGTCATAACACTCTCCAAGCCAGCCTTCTGGAGCTTCCCTAGGGAGAGCCAGGCCAAGGTTAGCTGATGGGCAGTGAGCTGATGTGCAGTCAGTGAGTGTTCTCAGCCACGGGCTGCCTGTGAACCGGGCACTGGCAGATGTGTGACACCGGGAAGCCCTTCCAGCCCACGCCCTCTGCTGGGTGAAGCCACAAAGCTCTGCTAGCAGTAGGGCCCCAGTTTGCAAGAAGTCAGTTTACTGCGATACGTACCCAGCTCACAGTCACCACAGAACAGCACTGGAGAAGCCAGCACCCCTCAAAACAGCAGCACAGCTCAGAGTGCTGGGCGACAACCGGCATCACCAGTCCCGTTCCGAGGGCTCTCGGTAAGGCAGCCCCAGCTGAGTGAAGACATCTCTCTCGGTCGGGGTGGGCAGAGCATGGCCAGATGCCACCTTGACACCACCAGGGCCTCGCACCACAGCCATGCTGAGGGCGTGCTCTGAGAGGCTCATGCCCTTGGTCTTGGCCAGGGCACGCATGGAGCGGTTGAAGTGGGCCGAGCCGGTGAAGTAGAGCAGGGCGCAGGCAAACTCACTGTAAGGAACCACGATGATGTCCAGACGTCGGTGACGACGGGCTGGCCCAGGAAGGCGGCACACCCCCAGATACTTCTTCTGCTCACCGTTGTCCTCCTGACTCACCAGGTCATCTGTAAGGAAGCCTGAGGAGAGGGAGCAGGCAGAGGGGGACTGAGCAGCAGACCTGGAATCCCCATTCTGAACTTTCCACAGTCCAGGCAGCAGCTGAGGTTTCTCAGTGTGCTGCAGGGTCCCTACAGTAACACAGCCTCAGCCCTGACAGCCTCCCAAGACAGGAGGAGCCATCACCTGCCCTTCAATGAATGCTATTCACGTGTAGCTCTGACCTCAGTCCCTCCTTGGCTTGGCTCTGCTAAGAACAGCTTCGAGCACCATGTGCCAGCCCCCAGCCCTCTTACCACTCTCGTGGAGGTTGTCAAGCAGCTTGCTGAACAGCCCACGGTGAGACTGACCATCCGGGTGAGTGACCAGCACGTCCACATCTCCGCAGGTGGCCTTCCCCCGACGGTAGGAGCCACATGCCACACACACGAGCCCAGGCTTCAGGGCCAGGGCTGCTTGTCTGACCTTCAAGAACAGAGGGGGAAAGAGGGAAGAAGAGTCACAGACCACTCTCTTAATGCCCTCTCTGTCCAGACAGCAAATGATCTTGCACCTGCCTCAGCCAGTCCTGCAGCTCCAGGGTCTCTGTACAGAGCTGACACTTGGCAGGCATGGCAAACTGCCCCAAGGAGAAGACTGACCTGCTGTCAGAAGCCGCGTGTGCTGGGGTGGCTTTCACACAGTCCTGCAAATGCCCAGCCCACTGCCATACAACACAATGATCTACTAGGCTGCTGCCACAAGTTGGACACTGGCAACAGCTCTTGGGGGAGGTCAGGCTGCTGCTGGGTTGGGACAATTTGGAAGATACAGCAGTGTTAAGGAGGCAGCATCATCAGAGATACCACTAATGCAGCCACCTCCAGGCTGGATCCCAGCTCTCACTCCGTGTGGACAGTGCCAGTTCTGATGGCTTCATTCATTAAATGCTTAAGAAAGGCTCCCATGTCCTTGGACAGAAGTATTCTTGGTCTGATTGTGCCAATCACCCTGTTGGCAGCAAATAATTAGGGGCTCAGCAATTCCCAGTGACGAGGCCATCACAGGGGCTGAGGTTCAGGAAGGTAGTGTCCATGCCCACAGCCCCTTGTCACTCTTGGGGATCATCCTTCATTAGCAAGAGATAAACCCATTAACCTTTGCCCCAGAGGTGCTTCAAGAAGCCACAAGCCTTTCTCATGCGGAGCAAGCCCTCCTCTGGTGTCCTTGCCCCCCTTCTGACTTTAAATGAAGATTTCTAGAAAACTCCCAACCCCACCCAAAAGCCTAAAAGCTCATCAGCTCTCACTGTGACAGGCAGCACAGACAGTGACTAATCCCTTATTCTCTCTCCCTGGCCTGGATCAGAGGTGTGTGCCCGTGTATGGAGGGGAGCACAGTAATCCCATCAAGATAACAATAGGCCCAGCCCCAAGAGCCAGCTCCTCAAACCAGCCTGCCTGGGAAAAGGACCACTCACAACCAAAATGGCTAATCCGGCATATGGGACTGACACCCCAGCAGGAGCCTGGCAGGAGTGTATTCTTTGTGGCCAGGCCCTGTGGCCGAGTGACAGGGTCACGCTGCTTGCTGCCTCCATGGTGATCAGAGAGCACAGGGATAGCAATGATGGAGCCCCAGCCTCTTTGCTCACATTAGGGTACACTGGCTTAGCACCCCACGGTCCTGGAGTGCAATGGCTTACTAGAGCGAGCAACACCCTTCTGCACCTGGATCCCCTTTGCTTCTACCAAAGATATCCAAGGTCTGTCAACAACAACCAGCTCACAGAATGCTCATGGACTCCTGTGCAGAAGTAGCATCAGGGAATCAGTTCAGGACCTTGGCCAAAAGCAGATACCAGAAAAGATGAGAGGCAGGAAAGGGGAGCTAGAAGCCATCAAGCCATCATGCCACATGTAGCCTTTTTCAAAGCACTGTGAGGAACTGACAGCTATGAAGTATCCTCCTTCTTGCCAAGCACTCAAACTGATCCTTTTTACAGGCTAAAGTAAGTACTTGGTGGGCTTATGCCCAAAAGCAGTCATCCAAGCACTGACACAGCTCAGAGAGGTTGCTGAAGAACTCAGCTGTAACAGAGGGACATTTCCACAGCCTGCAACTTCCTGTCAGATCCCAGCAGGTCCTCCACTCCAAGGGCTCAGAGGCTACTCACAGTCTGCTCTATTTCTGCAGCTTCCTCCCGAGGCATGCGCTCCAGGAAATCCTCATAGTGCTTCAGGCCCACAGCTTGCTGGCTGGTGAGAGATGCCTTTGTGCGGATATCATCCAGCGTCCGGAACCCCTAGTGCAGAACACATCATCTCTGCTGAGACCTCACTCTTCAAATGCTTTCCACTAGGACCAGGGGAGATTGTATTTAACCTGTCTCAAGACCAGGCTAGTCACAGTTTCTGAAATTGCACGTAGAAATTACAGCCTCATTACTGGAAAGAAGATATTTAGGCAATCCTCACACATACTTCTAATCTCCACCCCACACTGACTTCAAATCTTAACTAAACCTGAGGAAGGGTGCTATTCTTAAGACAACTGTGCTCTTTACAGCTTGAATTAAATTAAGTGGTGCAGGTAAAGGAAAGCCTATGGTGTAAACACAGGCATATTTTTAGACAGCAAAGAAGCCATTCACAAACCAAACACTACAGGAAGGCAGGCTTCACTTGATCTATGCTCAGGAAACAAACTCCTTCTAAGAAGGAACTTATCCAGTGGGCTGGAGAGGCTCATGTTTTCACTTATTTTACACCAATGTGGATGGCTGCTCTAACAGCTATAGGAGTCAGCCAGGACAACAGGGCAGTGACTGGATTGGGAACTGACAACCAAGACATCCTGGCTCAAGGCTGGTTCCTAACAGTGTCACTGCAGTGAGCAGTGGGAGATGAGCCTCCAAGCAGTGATGGTAACAGAAGAGACAGTACGTGTCCTCCTCCATTCTTCCTATCGCACATCTTTGTTGTCTATCCCATGACCAAACTCAGTCTTGGCTGCCTGCACTCCATTCTCCCCAAATACACCCACACCAGGACCCAGCCTCACAATTACTCCCATAAACGCAGATTTTAATCCCATCTGTAGATACTGGTAATTGGAAACTATTTGTTAAAGTAATTCCCCTGTTGCACTCAGAAGCAGTCCTCAAATCACAGCCTGAGAACCACCGTATAAAGCACTAAACTTACCTGCTGGTACCACATCTGAGCTGTCTTGACTCCTGCTCCCCAGATGTTGGAAAATAGCTCCAGCACAGGCACACTCTCACTGATGTGATCCAGCTTGCGCAGATGTCCACTCTCCAAGATCTCCAGGATCTTCTCTGCCATTCGCTTCCCAATCCCAGGAATTTTACAGGCTTCCTAAAAAGAAACCAGAGGTGACATAGGCCACACACAAGCTGCGGGGCTGTTACCATTCAGAACCCAACCAGATCAGTGATTGGTAAGAGGCAGGATTAGTTCTGTGAGCTGCTCATCTTCAGATCTGGCTTACACAGGTTCAATGCCAAGTGAAAAAAGACAAGCATGCACAACAGGACTGAAACACTACCACACTGAACAGCTGGGCTGCCACAGTCAACCAGCCGCAGATTCAACTAGTTTTATATGTTATCTCCAATGTTAGCCCATTGCTGAGGTTTAAGAGGAAAGTGAAAATGGCCCTGCATTGAACCTAGGGAAGGCGTTTATCTCGTGGGTGCTCAGATCCTACACTAAGAAGCTCTGAGTTGAATATGGGGTAGAGGCTCTGACTCCACTTTTTTACCAGCGGTCAATGAATCCAACTCACTAGACAACAACTTACAACACAATTCCCAAGGCATGAAGATAAGCTATTTCACACAGAAACAGGAACAGATCTGCCTTATAAAAGAGATGGGATGCAGAGTCCATCTCTCTGTTTCACTACTCTGGAGAAGTGTTTTACCTGGTAGGAGGTGACTGGTTTGTGGTAGCTTTTGAGTGCATTGATGGCTTTAGCATAGCCCAGAGCTCTCCACTTGTCCCCCTGGACAGAATAGGCTTTTGCCAGCACTTCCAGCTTCTCTGTGATGCACTGGTTGTGATTCTCTTTCTTGCTGTTGGAGGACTGTGCACAAACCCACTTGCTGACAGGCTGGGCCACTGTGAAAGAGCTGTCACTGGTCTCCTCTGACAATTTCACAGGATAGTGGCCAGAAATCAGTGCTTCCAGATCTCCCTGAGTGACACTAGCATCTTCTCCTTCGCTGTCTTCATCATCATAGACTTTCTTTAGGGAGAGGTAGAAAAGCAGTCATGTGAGAATAAGTGCATGCCTCACATATGTCCCGTTAGCACAGCCTGCTCTTGGGAGTAGGAAGTCAGAGCACTAACCAACCTCCAGGGTATGCAGTGCTCAAATTGCTATCTCAGGAAGTTGTTAGTTATATGCATACACAGCTCTAAATGTTCTAAGCTACCCAGGCACTCCTTGAAAATACATGCACATCTCACAAAGCACAGGAGAACAGAGGTTGCTGTTCAGATAAAACCCAAGAACACACACACTTCCACTGGGAAACTTATTATTGAACTGGTGTTTGTATAGGCACATCTCTCACATTCAGTCTCTCTGCCTTCCACCCCACGATGCAGATCACAGGAGATACGCCCTCTGTTTTCACCTTATAGACAAATACTCTGTTTTCACCTTATAGACAAAATCTTAACAGGGTACTAAATTACAACCCCCCCATTTTCCCCATGGCTATCTGCAAGAGAAAAGGGGAAGGAAGGAATGCCACAAAGGACTCCACATTCCTCAGTGACAGAAGAAAGAACCAATGTATACATTTGCTGATACTCTCAGCATTAGGATGCCTCTGTGTGGACTTAAGAAACAATGACCCCTGGCTTCAGGTAATGAACAAAAGGAATAGAAGGAGGAAGCTGAACAGAGGCTTTGAAGACTGCTTTGCTCATTTGAGTCCCCCTCTCTCCTTATATATAAACACAGGAGTCCACAGAGATATATGAGCTCCTGTACCATGGAAGCAAACCTGAAAGGAACAGGGCTGATGGGGATTTGTTCTGAACTTACACACTGCACACAAGTCCCATTACGAGTTTCTGCAGAGCATCAGCCTAAGGCAGAGCCACATCTTTACAACCTGTTCCTGCTGGCTAGGGAGGCCTGCAAACAAAGTCCCTGCAAGATACAGAGCTGAAGCCATTAGGCAGAAGAGGCAGGATGCTCCTGTGCTTTCCCTTTTGTAATCTTGTTTTATAACTCTGAAAATTGGGTCAGACTAAGGATTTGATAGACTGAAGTAGTTTTATTTGCTCTGAAACTCTGTATGCAACTCCCCGAAGACAAAGTTCCCTCTAAGCGCAGCAAAGCCTCAGAGTGTTCAGATCGCTTAGTAAGCCCCTTAAAAGCATTTAAGGAGCATGTTATCCAGCACAATGTAAACAACACTACAGCTGGAGCATGCAATTCCCATTCTCTCAGCCAGCAGTGTCACATAGGTGAAACAGTACATAAACCCCAGAATCTCTGCGCTTTGCCAAAAAAGCTGATGAACTTTTTACAACCGTGCATACAAAACCAGCAGCCTTGTGAGCTTCTAAGTTACTCCATGTTCCTACAGAAGGTGGCTTGCAGAGCTGGGCGAGAATGGGCTGTGCTGGGTTTGTCTGTCCCAAAAAGGCAGCTCGAGCCTGGCAGCTGAGGCAATACTTCACTTGACAGGGAGGAAACAGTAACAGGGTTCCATAAGTGAATAACTGGCAACACTTGCTACCTTGCAGAAAACTACAGCAACTTGCTGCCAATCACAAGGCAGTTGCTACAACCCGACTGGCAACAGGATTTCTGCTGAGTTGACACTAAACCCTGAATTCTCAGAGCAGTCCCCATTCCGTATGATATACTGGCACACTGCTTGTTGCCTAGAGAATAGCATCCATCCATGCTAAAAAATATTCAGTGCTTAAATGGATGCCACTTCCACATTAAGATTTCAGTTTCGGCTCCTCTGTTGGTATCATTTTTAAGAAGTGTTAGGTACTGTCTTTAAGGCATAACCAGTGGGTTCTCCTCTCAACCCCACACAGCCCTACGCTTGGACCAAGGGAATTTGCTCAGGTGCCTACGGATACTGTTTCTGCACGCAGACTAACAGGAAGTATCATTGCTTGAGGGGATTTAAAAGAAAAAAGGGCAGCAAGGCTTCCCACAGACTCTAGCAGCTGTCTGACCACCCAAAGTAAACATGAGAAGAAAACAGGACAGTTGCCACAGGATCCATAACAGTACAGAAGTCCCTTTCTTGTTCTTAAGCGTGAGATTTGTTATTAATGACTGCCACTAGAGTTACAATAAATGGCAAAGATAGGCTAATTGCAAAGGTGATACAGTTAAGAAGCAGTAGCCAACTCTCTCATACTAGACAGTAAATGTGGGGAGAAAAGATCCCCCACGCATGTGTTCATGAGAAAGGAAAGCCTAAAACAAAGATGTCCTTGGTGGGATGCCAACTAGGGAGTAATTGTTTCATAAAACAAATTCAGCACCTACGATTTGGGACCAAGTTAGCAAACACAGCATCAGCTACCAGCACTACAATGCAGCTGCTGTTCTAAGAGGTCTGGGGTAACTTTGCCGCAGATAGATTTGGATAATGCCAACACAGAAAAGAGTTCAGCAAACTTGGGCAGAAATGCAGGAAAAGACGACAAAGCTGATGGCAGACCTGGAGAAGCTGACTCACAGCAGAGGCTACCAATACCTCAACACAGATATTTTAAGCACACCATCACAATAATTCTAGTAGCAATCTGATCCACTGCACAAGTGTCTGAACAGAATTCTTGCCAAGAAGCAGAGAATGCGTCAGTGTGGCTCAGGCAGGAACACAGGATGAAATGTCAGTGCTTCCTGAAAGGGAGATGTTCTAAGCCAGGGGATACTCCTCAAAAAGAGGCAGGGGAAACACGATCACTGGAGCGAGCCTTGGCCTGATAGGAGCACCTGGACTGCTTCAGCTAGAAATATTCTGATAGGGATGGGAATTTAATGACTGTTTTTCTACTTAAAACACCCAAAGTGATCAAGAGAAGCAGTAGCCACATCTACAGCCCAAGTCTGCCAGCACCAACCCACTGGAACATCCCAACAACATCCCTCAGAAAATCCGGCATCATAGCCCTGCAGAAAAGCTCTTACCAAAAGTAGTACACAGAACCTGTCCACAAGAAGCAGAGCCTGTGTGGGAAGCCTCACCTTGGATGGTTGCTGCTGTGCAAGGCTGCCCAGGTTTTGCTGTGAGGAATCCCCCAGCTGTGCTTTAACATTTGCTTCTGCTGCACTCTCCTCTGTTGAGGACTGGATTTCTTCACTGCCCAGGAGCTGCTGCTGCTGCTGTTCTCCCTCTTCCCGGTACCTGCCATGGATCAGACACCTTATCAGCTCCAAGATTTTTGTCCAAAAAGCCTCTATGCATATTTTGGAATGAAACAAACGATGTGAATTTTACTCCCAGATTATTCTGGTTTTGGCTCAATCCCCCAGTTTCAATCCATTCCACTGACCTGCAACTTCCACTCCAATCTACCTCAGTCTTAAACACTTCTACACTTCCACCAAAACACTATGACCCTAAGCTGTGGTTGCTGCTGTTCCTCTCCTTATTTCTTCTTATGCCTAGTTGTCAATTCTCTCTCTGCTCTTCATCTGCAGTAAGAAACAGCATCTAATCCCCAGTATTTCTAAAAAAAATAAAAATAAGAAAACCATTCTATCATTGATGGATTAAGAAGTGCCTTTATCACCAGCAATAAGCAAAGGGACTCCTACTAACACTCTGGGCTCTGCTCCAACTTCTGCTACCATACAGAATGGCAACCAGTCACAAAATCACTAAATTTCACTATCCGTACAGCAAAAAAGGATTTTGGGCCATGCCCAAGGGAGCTGTGAAGAGATGCAGTCTGAGATTGCGAGCAGAGGTCAAATTTTAGTGCAATTCAATTTAGGATTGAGGCACTATAGGGAGGGAAAACAGCATGGCATTTGCCTACCTCCGAGGGATAAAGACACTGTAGCCAGCAGTATTCAGCAGCTTCTGATCTCTAATGCAATCACTGAGCCAGGATGCCTTCACCAGCTGCAACCTAGAAGGCAGCTTGGCTAATCTGAGGAGCCGGAAGGCCCGATCACAGTCCATATCTTCAGCTACAATGACGTGTGTCACCTCCGAGCAGAGACGGCTGTGTACAAACCCCCCATTCTGGACAATCTGCTTGTGGAAGATCTCTGCCCTGGCTTGGCCAATGCCAGCTTGCAACACGTAGGCAGCGACTGGTTTCAGCCACTCCGCTGAGGAAAAGCAGAGGGGCAGGAGGTCAGTGACAGAGAAACAGCATCCTGAAGCTGCTGGGCTCCATATCTCAGACCATGGCTGGACACACTGAAGCAAGCCAGCCACACCTCTACAGAAAATGCACTCGGGGGCCAGAAGAAGCCTTTAGGGGTACAGAGCCTCCAGCCAGCAAGCCAGCAAGGGATACTGCCCTTACATCCCACACCATGGGCACAGGGACTTACCCTCGGGCTGCACCGTTCCTTCTTTTGGGATCTTTGGAGGGACGCTTTTCCCTGAGTCATCCCTCACCTTCTTCCTCTTGGGAAAGGCTTTGACAATCCCTCGCGGTTCCATAGGCTGGGCTGCACCTCGCTCCCCTGGGGAGATGTTAGGCTGCAGCTGAACAGCACTAAGAAAGGAGAAAGACGCTTAGAACGGCTGCGCGCAATCAGAACGACTTAAGCTTTGCACCTTTTGCTTACAGCCTTTGTTGGTTCGTTGTTGCTGGGGAGCCGAGCTCCGGGGCTGGAAGCGATCCCCTGAGGTCCCCGAGGGCTGACAGAAGGCGCGCGGGGAAGGGAAGGGAAGGGGGTAGAAGGGAAAGGAAGGGAGGGGACCCGAGCCCGGCACCGGGCCCAGGCGCCGCGGTAGGCCGCGTTCACCTACGGGTCGCCGGCAGAGGCCGAAAGGCACTTCCGGTCGGCGGCGGAAGTGGTCGCGTTGCCGTGGCGACGGGCCCCGGCCGCCATGGCGGTGCCGAGCTGGCTGGAGAGGCTGCGGGCCGCCAGCAAGACCGCGCTGGTGCAGGACGGTAACGGAAGCGGCGAGCCGGGATGGGGCCCCGCCTTCCCCTTTTCTCCCATCCGGGGCGTTTTGGGGAGGCCCTGCGGGAAGAAAGGGCGGCCTGGGCCCTAAGGGAGGAAACGGGTCTGCAAACGTAGGGATGCGGCCCTGTGCTGCTGCCCTCGTACAAGGAAACGAGGTCCCGAGAGAGGGGGTGCGGTCCCAGGCGAGGGGATGGGGCCCTGCAGCCAGGGGTAAGCCTATTCCTATCGACTCTCAGCCCTGCCTTGCTTCTAGGGAAGCGGAAGATCCACTACCAGTTTGAGGATGGGAAGGAGATGGCTGAAGAGTACGACATGAAGACTGGCCAGTTAGTGAGTAAGTGGGCTGGTAGGTCAGTGTTTGCAGGCTGGAGTGGTGGAAGGCACTGTCTGGGTAGGAAGGAAGCGCTCCTAAATATTCCAGAATGAATTGTTCCTGGAGCTCCCACTCCCTTCTGAAGGGACATAGCTATGGTTGATTAGGTCCAGGGTCTTATCAGTTCCTTGAGCAAACCTTGCTTCAGCCCAAGATCACTCCCAGACTGCTTGTCACTGACAACAGACATAATTGCACTGAATGGGATTGCCAGCTTGCACAGCCAGACACGGGCTGTGGCATGTGCTGGGGTGAAACATGCTTTTTGGTGGCTTTTGTGGCCACAGACAGACAAGGTGTTGGTTACAGATCTTATCCAAAACCACAATTGTGGCATGGCATCTGTTGTGAACCTACTATGGCTTCAGTATCAAATAGCAAAGAAGAGGCAGTTAGTGCACAATTCTTGGATTCAGGAATAGTCCAACTAACTGATCCACTTATACCAAAGTGGAAATGATTGAAATTAAGGAAAAAGCCTTATCATCATTTCAATTTAAGGTACTGGGCAGCTTTGGTGGTAATTTGCTGGAGTTCTTCATATAAAACAGAATAACAAAATCTCTTCTCCCTTCTACAGGTAGAAGGTGGCGAGAGAAGAACACCCTCGGAGGCACTGGCAAGTGGCAGGTTGAAGTGGGAGACCCAATTTCACCTCTGCTGGGACCACTGGAATCAGAGCTCATAAAGGAAAGCAGCTCTAATGTATGTAAGGGTCTGTAGGCACCACTGCACCTAAAACTATCTACCTAGCCTTGTGCTTACAGCAGTAGTCTGTAGGTCACTCACTGCCCAAAGAGACAGCCTTAACCTGCCCAGCACTCTGCTACAAAGCATCCCAAAGGTCTGGGGAGAAAGAGGGCATAGTTTAGGTTCTTTTGAGGTCTTCAGGAGATTTGTAGTTCCTATAAGTAAAGAGTATAAGTATAAGTAAAGAGTATAAGTATTGCTCCGGTAGCCAGCTATTGTGCTAGCTCCCAAAAAAGTAGACTGAAAGGAAGGACAAATCAGTGGATGGAAAGTGAGGTGATAATGGTGGAAGGCCAACACAGCCAGTATGTAACAAGCTGCTCCTTAACACAGCACTGCCTGTTTTAACCTCCTGTCCCACCGGCATAGGGGGCAGAGGTTTTAGTCTCTCATTTTCTTTTCTGTAGATCTGAAACACAAGAGCAGCTCTGTGCAGCAGAGTGGGGCAGAGGCCCAATTTCACTGTAACACTGCTGTGGGACTCCCTTGGTGAATGCCTTCAGCCTCCTACAAGCAGAGCAGGCAATGCCCTGAGTAAATGCTAGCCCTTCAAAACTGGTGCTCTGGCAGTTTCTCGAGTTGTTCCCTAACAATCCAGTGGGAAAGAAGAGAGAGCCTCATATGGAGCCTCTCGGAGTATCAAAAGCAAAAGGGTACAAGGAGGAGAGAGGAGACAGCTGGAGGGGCCTTGCTAAAGGTACTTGTTTGCTGTAGCCTGTTTTCATGAGGAAGGACACCCTGACCAGCTTCCAGTGGCGGATCCGTAACCTGCCCTACCCCAAGGAGGTCTACAGTGTCTCTGTGGAGAAAGAGCAGCGCTGCTGTGTCATCCGGACCACAAACAAGAAGTCAGTAAGAACAGCACTGCCAGTGCTGAAAGTCCCTCGGGGTGGGCTGGCACGGAGGGCAGGGTGGTGTTGGCAGAGGGGTGATGTCCTCTCTTGCCTTTGAGGAGCCATACATTAGACAGAAAGAGACGTGCCAACTGCAATTTCCACTTCCAGCTGCCTCAGACTGAGCAAAAAACCCCTCAGGCTCAACAAGTGGACTTTGCAAACTTATCTCACAGTTCAGTAGCAAGGTGTTTAGTCTGTTCTTTTCCTGTCAAATATCATTCCCAAAGAGAAAGGACATAATACCTTAGCAAACTTGTTGAAACTAGAGCTTCCCATCCTCTTCCTGAGACACAGTACTTTGATTTACTCATTGTATCTCAGAATGCATGGAGCTGCAGAATTCAGTAAGCACAGTGTAAGCTCTGAGCACTCAGACAGATTTCACCTTTGAAAACTTGCTCTATTGTCAAAAGACAATGATAGCAAGAAAAAAACAAACAAGCAATCTAATAAAGGAAAGCACCACAATATTCTGCCAAAAGAAAACTAAGAAGGGAGGGAAAAAAAAGCCTCTTAAGCATCCTTTAACCTTTGTCATTACCTGTCCACTCTTAGAGAATGAGATGCACTGTGCCCCAAATCCTTAACTGCCTCAGCGAAATAGGCCAGGATGAGCAGTAGTGTTGAGGAGAGATAGCAAGGATGAATGTTAGGAAAATGAGAGAATATTGGACAGGCAGTGAAAGCTATTTACAGACTGGGATAGATACATCAGTACGAAAAGCTGGGCAGCCTGTCCTTTGGGCAGCCTGTCCTTTCGTTGCCTGTCCTCCCCAGCATTGCTGCAGAACCCGGGAGGATCAGGTTCGTGGGGAAAAACTGCAGCGTTGCTTTCCGGCCTGCACCCTGCCCTCTTTCAACCACTTCTTGCTGCTGACTGTAGGTGGTGCTGTTGGCAAAGAGCTCGCTTTGCCTTGGGAACTGTACAGCTTTCAGGACAGCAGAACCCACAGTTTTCAGGCAATGGCTTATTACATCAGAGACAATGGCAAGGGGAAGTTTGAACTCTGTACACGGGGACACATGGATGCTCAAAAGCAGGAGGAAGCTGACAATAGGAAGGGGAGGTCTGCCCTATGAAAGCAGATTCAGCTCTAATACAGTAAGTTTCTGGCCTGAATCCACAGAGAAGGATTTGCAAGAAAAGAATGGGGAGACCTGTGTAGCAAAGATGAGTGAGATTCTCATCAAGTACAAGTGGGTACCCATGGATAGGAAAGTGGTACTGTTTGAGTCTAAGTCCAACCCCCAGCTATTATTGGCAAGCTTATTTACTCCCCATGCTACTAATAGCAGTGTGCATGTGGGAACTACTTCACCTGCTGTAAGGTTATAACGTACACTAAGGCTTCACCTGTGTCCTACCTGATTTTAGGTTTTTTGTACCATTCTCAGGATAACATAGAGTTGTCCCACAATCATATGGCCTACACACTCACAGACTAGTGTCAGAGATAGCTGAAGGACATGAAAGCTGCTCGTGGCCTGCAGATGAAAGTTAAGGGCTTTGGGAATTAAAGCTGAAAGTTACCTTAATGGGGAGCAGGGACAGACTCCAGCACTGGAGTACTTAGTACAGGCTCCAGGATATCTTATATCATTTCTCCTGGGTCTTGGCCAGGGCAAGGAACCACTCAGCAACTAATTCCAAGATAGCAACAAAGGCATGGGGGCATCCACAGCAAGAGCACATCACTATGGGAGAGAAAGGAAACCTCAGAGCCTCTCCAACCCTTGGAAGTCAGCCACGCTGCCTCTGAGCAACAGAGCCGTGCTGACCGCCAGCCAGAGGCACAAGCAACAGGATGGGTTGCCAAGTCACTACTGAGTAGCTCAGCAATAAATTCTCAGCATACCAGTAGCAGTTTTCCCTACAGGCTGACAAAAAGTGGATTTCCAGTAGGAAAAAAAATAGAGGTGACTTCACATACACACTGTGGCTCTCAAGCCAGGACCGAGGCTCAGAGTGCAATACTGCCCTTGGCCATGGGGTGAGAGACGAGGGCAGAGAATCTCCCTGCTCCAACAGAAATTACCTCCCATCAGCTACCTTCCCAGCCCAGACGGAGCTCTTCGCATCCACCAGTCACTCTCATTCCCTCTGGCCACGGCAAGGGCTGCTCAAGTGGGATTTGCTTAAAACCTCTTGCTGTAAAATAAATCCATTAAACTAAACTCTAAAAACAAACCCAGAAAGCCTTCTCCCCAAACGCCAAACCTGATTCAATTATTGTAGCAAGAGGCAGTGGTAATGTTAGGAGGAGGAGGGGGTGGCCAGGCAGATCTGGTTTCCTTTGATCTTGTCACAGATTTTAGTTTGAGGCCAGCCAAAGCCATTCTTCTTCCCTTCTCCTTAGTCCTGGGGCAGCAGAATGCTGCTGTTTCATTGATAACTCCCAAGGCCTTTTGAAACAGTGTTTTTTTTCTGTGTACTGCTTTTTTTCTTTCAGGTTTTTTTTTTGTGGGGTTTTTTTTTTTTTTTTTTTTTGGTCTAATCGGTAAGAAGTTAACACTTCCTTAACATGTCTTTGTGTTCATCTAATCTCTGCTGTTTAACCTTTGACATCTCCCTTATTATCCATGTCTGCCACCTTTTCCAAATACCGACAGCAGTGACAACACAGAACGGTTTGAGCCCTGCGGTAACAAGCTGCGTACATTCCTCCCACTGCACCAGGAGAGCCATTTGCCCTTTGTAGCTGTTTTCACCGTGACTTGGAAAATAAACTGCAATGTGGGCAGGGTAGGCAGGGAGGCCAAACCTCACACACAACGATGAATGGTGAAGAACCCCTCATGGCATGAAAGCAACTGCTGCCTGTTCATGTTCATCTCTGGGCACCTCAGTACCAGCTATGAGTCAATTCCTTGGAGAGAGCTGCCAGTTCTGGCAGAGACTAAAAACCCAGCCATGCCTCCAGGTGGACACAGGACCAACAACTGGTACATCTCGTGCAATCCTAGATGGAAGCAGCAGATGCAGGGCAAGCCATGCCAACAGAGAAGGATCTTGGCCAAGTGCAGAATGAAGGTCTACAAGGTTCTAGTCCCCAAATCAGGAAAACTCTTAGCAGCATAGACAGCTTATAACCCCTCCATTTCTACCAGCAACATATCCCCTTCATACTGAGCAAAGTCCAAAGTTTGGTCAATGGAGAGACAAGATGGTTAGGGAGCTGGCAAAAACCTTTCTATCCCCTCCTAGGATGAGAGACTGGGAAACTGGGATAGAGATCAGAGCAAGGATGCTGGGAGCGCAGAACAGCACAGCCAGCATGGGGGCTGCATGGAGTTGCTGCAGAGTAGAGGCTTAGGTGGCTGTTGGCATCTACGCTTGGAGCTCTGTGCCCTGGGCAATGCCTGAGTGCCACCAGGTCACCAAAGCAGGATATGATCTAGGAAACAGAGTAGGAGCAAGTGGGAGACAAAATAAAACCTTGCAGCTCTCAGGAAAGTAAGTCACAGGCACATGGACTTTGACAGGTAACTTAAAGGGAATAAAAGGAAATGAGCAGGAACAAAGATAAGGAACATCCCTCAGCAAGGCTGAGCGCTCTGTCCTTAATTATGCCTGGCACTTCTTGAGGGCAACTTGGAGGGACCAAACCTGCTCCCGTATACCAAAGCTCTTCAGGGCTTTGCCAGCTCCAATTCCCAGTTTAGAGGTTTGTTTCCACCAGCCTGGGGGCACTAGCAGGCACACAGCATAGCACAGGTTTCTCCTGCCAATCCTGACAGGTCCATTACCTTCTGCTTTTACCCTGTTGGGACCCTGCTCCCTGCAGACCCTTGTTCATGAAACAAAGGCAAGCAGAGTGGAGATGCAAGTGTACACCCTGCAGAATAACAAGTAGCTGAGGAGAATAGGAACTCCATCCTTCTCATTTCTGTCTTCTCGCATTGTAGGTACTACAAGAAGTTCCCTATTCCTGACCTGGACCGATACCAGCTCCCCCTAGATGCAGCTGCCCTGAGCTTCACCCATACTAACAACACGCTGATCATCACGGTGAGGTTTTAGCCACACAGAACACCACTTTGCCTTTCCCTTTATGTCCACAAAGAAGTTAAAATTCTTACATATGGAGAAGCAAGGCACAGCAGGGAGATATGCTGTGGGTCACTGCTGAGTCCCCTTCTCTGTCACAGTCACTGGCAGTTTTAGATTATGCTGGACATGCTGACACAGGCCAGGACAGCCCAGGCCACCAGAGGGGTCCTGCTTGCTCATCAAGGTGACTTGCAAGTGGAATAGGGTCTATAGTGCTGTATTTTCCATGTACCCCCCTCCCACTGGCCTGAGCAAGCATTCTCTCTCAGCAACAAAAAGTTTGTCTTGGCTCAGAGCATGCTTTCATGCTGTGTGCATGAGTGTTAAAGACTACAAGGTCCTGCTGCACTTGGAGGTCTCTCAGCCTTAAAAAAGTCACCTGCTGCTTTGTGCCAGAGAGGAGACACATGGTGGAAGTTAAGAGTCTAACAAAATGAGCGCTTACCTGCTGCAAGGAGCATCCAGAGGCAGACATGCTTTTGAGCAGCATGTGCTCATCTTAAACATGGAAGTCAGCTACCAAGAGCGCATCCTCTCTGAGGGAAACCTCACAGCGGAGCTGGGGGTGGGTGTGCAGAGGAAACAGGCCAGGAGGCGCATCCTGAGTGCTTCTGAGCTTCTGTTTGCTATACACCCAATCCTTGCCAAAAAGCACCTGCATCCACCACTAAACTGCAGCTGGGCAAGAGGGCTCTGAGGGGAGGACAGAGGAACTGCAACTCCTATTTCTCTTGCCTTTAAAAAAAAATGGAGATTATATATATAAAACACGTGTGAGCATATGACCAATGAGCACACCAGGGATACACACAACACAGCTTGCCAGGATATTCCAGAGGTGTTGGTGGAGGCCAAGACTCCACATGCAATTAGGAAGTTTTACTTGCACTGTAACTGACACTCCAGATCTTGGCAGATGTCCCTACCAGGAGGGCACCACCTCTCCAAGCCCACATTAGAGGTAGTTGATAATGGAAAGACCTCCCTTGTCAAGAGGGCCCAGCTGTGTAGTTTACACCAGCAAGAGCTGTGCTAACAGACACCCTCCTGCTTACAACCTCTCTCCAGTTAGTTTGCTTGGAGCAGAGGCTGAACAGGAGTGCTATGGGCATTTTTCTGTCCTACAGTACCAGAAGCCAAAGGAGATCCTGGCTGCAGAAGAAGAGTTGCAGAAGGAGCTGAAGAAGATAAAGACAGCAAACAGTGGGGATGGTGACTGCAAGACCCAATAGGCAGTGACTGCTAAGAGGCTGAGGTATCGGGGACAGCTCTGTCACAGCTTCATGGTATTTATTTTGCCTTTTCTAATAAAAATAAGTTGTGTTGTTAATAGAGCTGTTCAGAGGGATTTTTGCAGGCCCAGGAAACTGCAATGCAATCTGTTTTTTGCCTTATTTACACAGACATTTATAATCCTTCTATTAATTGTGGGAAGCTGCAGCAAGCAAAAAAAGTACATCACAGCTGCAGTCAGCTGCCCTTTCCCCATCCTGTAGTTTGAGAAGCAACATGAAAGCTGGATAGCTCCTCATGTGGAGAAAAAGAACCCTTTACTCACACCTGTTACCTGCCTGGAATGTGGTTGGAAGCAGCTCCCTCTTGTGCTGTTGCAGAGGGTCCTCTGTGCTGTTAAAAGGATGTTCTGGTGACTCTCGTTTCTCTGCAAACTGCTTCAGTGCTTAGGTTTGAGCAGGCACAGCATATGAAACAGGGTAAAGAGCTGCTTCCTTATGACCAGCCATGTGAAACGTGACGTGCAGGATGCAGGGCTGTTGTGCAGAGTGAAGGAACTCAGATGCAGCTGCCTTCATTTGCATGACATGGAAGTGAACCTGGTTACAGGAGCCACTGGCCAACTCAAGGGTAGCTGAACCACATCCTTTGCAGGAGTAGGCCCCAACCTGCCCCAGTGCAAGCCTCACTGTAAAGACACTACCCTGTGCATGGGGACAACTCCATCAATGCTGATTTTGCAACTCACCCTCCAGCTGGCTACTGTCCTCATTGCACCAGTCATCCCCGTGCTTAGACTTCTGCATGTCCTTTCATCCCCAGTTCATATTTGAACAGCTTCTGCCCACAACAAATCCAAGTGAGCATGCTATGGGCTCCCAGCATAGCACTGCTTTCAAATCACAAAAACTCCTCAGAGCCTTGCTGACATCCTCAGTTATACCCTCCCTGCTGCCTAACTTTAGCTCCCATCTGCACAGTCTTCCCCAGGCACCGCTGACAGGCAGAGGTCAGCAGAAGCAGTGTGCCAAACCCCACTTCTGGCTTTCCCATTCCTTAATGTCACTTGAGATGGGAGGGTGCATCCTTTAACCAGCCATGCTGGCACCACCATGGAGTTGCAGCTCTGCTCTAGGTTTCAACCAGAAAGAACCTAAGAGCAGACAGAAAAGTGCAGGATCCACCATCAGGGGCTGCAGAAGGGGAATGGCAGGACTGGCAGCAGCAATGTTGCAGGTGTGTCTGTCACAGGACGCACCAGGGACACTGTTCACATAATCTGCTGACATGCTCATTTCTACTCTGAGCCTTGCCCAAATCCCAGTGCAATAAAGAACCTCTCCTCCCACCCAATATTAACCCCAATCCTTCAGAGCCTCTCTCTGGGGACTCTGTTAGAGACATTTAATATCTCCATCCTTCCCCCCACTTGCTATTTCATTAAAGGACCTGGAACACTGAAGGATCTGAGAAAACACAGATCTTCCTTCCCACTTCCAAGTTCTGCCATCTCTCTGGTCTTGCGTCTCATGCCTAGTATGTACCTAAAGCTCTTCTCACATGTAGAGCCTGAAGTGCTCCAAGCAATACAGCAACAGTATTTAGCAGTCCCTGACACATAGCTCCATCTTTTGGACAACAGCTCCATGTTACCTATAGCCCAAAGGTCTTCTCCAGAGTCATTATCCTGAACCAGCTGTCTTTGGGATTTACAGATCTGCAGAGATGGAAGATTATTCCAGTAGTGACATCTTTTTACAGCAGTAGATCAGTGCCTGGGACACTTAGATATCAATTTTGCCACTTAGACTCCAGGAGAACATGTGGCACCACGTAGCTACACAGAAGCTGGCAGTAAGTAGACATAACTGTCAGCAGAGCTGGATCACAAACTGTGACAGAAAGCTGTGCTGGAAAGAGCTTTGTGAGAATATGATCCTGCAGCAAAGCCAATTGCTGTCTCACATCCACTGGGAGTGGAGGGCTGTCTTCAAGCAGGTGAAAACCTGGTTGATTCCACTCCCTCCTTGCTCCAACAGGGGCTCCAGCATACATCTTCCAATCACTGTGGATTACAAGAGAAAAGCGGCCTCTTGAAGGCAGAAATTGCCCTTCAAGTCTTAACAAAGCATTATGCTGGCTGCTTTGCCCTAAAGTTGCTGCCAGCTTGTGATACAAAAACTCTCCTTTACCTATCTAGGATACCCAAACTCACAGCCTAATAGAGTTCATGCACCTCCTTTTCCGAGGAGGATCAGACAACGCTGCACTCATCCACAGACATCCACAATCATTCAGACAGCACAGAATATAATGAAAGCTACAGCTGGGAGATTCAGTCCTGGTCAGGTTCAGAAGACCGTTGCAAAAAGTTAAGCCCTCTTAGATGTTCCTACAGAATCCCAATAAGTCACAGCAAAGCCTTGGTATTTGCACTAGCCCAGTTTGCTGCTTGTGTGCAGGCAGCAGGTGAGTTGCAGTCCTTGCTTTTATTTCTTGTTTGAATAAGTGGTATGAGAGCCAAGATCCCAGCAACTGTCATCAACACAGAAGTGCCACAGCATCTACCCAGAGAAAGATCCTCCACACATACAGACTGTCTGAAAACAGGACCAGTCTCCTCTACAACTAGCAGATAACATCACAGCCCCTTTGGGACTTGAAACAAAACAAACACTCTCTTCTGTTTCCCTTCAGAGTTTTATTTAGCAAAATACAACTGTTTCAGCCCTGCCAAGTGCACTGCCTGACCTGATGGCCAGCTAGGGGAGGCATACACTGAAAGCAGGGCTGGCTCTGCCTTTTAGCTCAATTCCTTCTCTTGGCTGAAAAGAACAGCACAAGCAGCTGTCAAGAGAGCAAGCACAGGTGAAAAGGAGTCCCTGCTCCAGGCACCTTCCCTTGCACCAAATGAGTGTACCTCACACACAGACTTGCTTCACATGGCTCAGAGTTTTAGCTGATCTTAACCTGACCAGCATACAAGCTGATAGGGCATTCTGGCTCAACCTGCCCCTCAAATGTATCCACAGGAGAGTTAAAAAAAAAAAAAAAAAAAAAAAAAAGAACAAAACAAAACAAGAACAGATAACGTTACAAACCCTGACTTGCACAAAATAAAAATGTAAAGGACAATTGGCCTTTATTTCCACTAAGGGGCAGATGAAGTTGTTAAGCCTTGCCCCTTCTGGACTCTTTAACATAGCCTTTTGGCAGGCAAAGAATCTCTATGGATGCCTTGGGGCCACTCTCACCTCTCCTGCACTGCTTTTCCCTGAACCAAGTGTCAACTTTGCTGAGTTGAGGTGACCAGAAGCAGTTCCGGTGCCCTTCATGAGGCCGTGAAGTCAAGGACGTGCAAGGCTGATGCCAGGGCAGCATACAGATGGGTGGTACTGAAACGGAGGCAGTACACTGGGCTGCTGGTGGGTGAAGACAGGTGAAAGCTCTGCAAGAAAACAAGAGAGTCAGTTTTTCAAAGAAGAAGTTAGCCCACAGACCTCAACAGGTTTTTCAGGCCCAAATGGTCAGATGCCCTAGCAAAGCAGGAATGAAGGTTAGACTCCCCATGGTGGACTCAGTCCGAAGACAGCTCAGCAGCCTCTGTCTCTTCTTTCAAAGAGACATAGGTACCTGGCTGCCAGAGAACGAGCCAGAAGCCCTGCTGCTGCCTGGCCTCCAACCAGCCCTCACCTGCAGGCACTGAGTTTGCCGCTTATCCCAGAGGCGCACCACTCCATAGTAGGAAGAGCCGCTTGCAATCATATGGTTCCCATCAGTCCTTATGCAGTACAAGGCGCTGTCATGGGGCTCTTCCCACTCCCGGACACATTTTCTGCAATGACAACACAAAATAGAGAGCGGCTGAGCCTCCACCACCCAGCGCCTGGACTGGAACTGAGGTCCCATTTGCCTGAAGGAGCTAACCAAACTGCAGGAATGTCCCAGGCACTGCACAAGGAGAGCCCAGAGGATCCTTGCACAGGCCCAAGATGCCAGCAGGGTAGGCTCACCTGGTGCTGGTCCGTATGTCCCAGTAGCGGATGTAAGTGTCATACCCACATGAGAGGAGAAGGGAGGGAGTTTCATAGAAGACATCAAGCACTCCAGCTCCATGGTGAAAGTCAGTCCCTAAGCAGGTTAACAGCTGACCACTGCAATGAAACATAATTGAAGAGTCATTCAGAGCAGAAAGCCCTTCCAGTCCAGCAGGCCAGAGCAGAGATGTCACAGAAATCTCCTAGATCTCATTTCTGTGATTTAACAGAATGCAACAGCCTGCACAGCTTTGCTCTTCCTCCTCCAGCTTCTGCTATTGGTTGAGCTACAAACTGCCAAGGATAGTGACCAGCAGGAGTCACAGCTGGTCATGATAAGACATGAGCCAAGGTAGAGCTGACCCTTAGCATCAGGGTATCATCTTCGTTGGAAAAAGTGACCAATACGCTGAATGATAAGGCTCCATTTCCATGGGAAATGATATCAGATAATCTGCAGCAGCCACTCCCCTGGTTGACTCCATCCCGGATTCTGTCCTTCAGCACACGGTCTGCTAGGGTATTTCCCAAAATCTTTGACACACAGCTCAGATCCACAGCCAAATCAGACTCTTGCCCCAGGTCACCATGGTTGCTCTTCCTCACCTCATTACATTATGCTGCATGCTGCAAACACCTTATCTGGGGCTGAACATGACAGGCCAAGAGCAGCCACCCTAGGTATGCTCTGGAGACAACTTCCCAAAGGCTAGCCTCTCCTGCCCTTTTAAAATTCTTTGCTTGCTGTGGAAAAGCTAAAACAAAATCTCCATGAAGTTCAAAGTTTGTGGCCATGTCACTCAACTGCTTCTTCATGTTAAGGAGCAGCAGCTGTCTGGTGAGGGACCTCTCTAAAAGGGGCTTCCCAGCAAGGCTGGGAGAAGTTTGAGGCCACATGAAACTCGGTCACATGAAACTACACACTGCCTAGGGCACAGGCCACAGCCTGTCCCCACTAACTCTCCACCTCAGCAGCTAACAACACCTGTCCATAGCAGACTCTCAGGAACAGAGGGGACAATCTGCCCAGCTGCTGGAGATGGCCACCTATTGCAAACCG